CCCTGCTAATTTCATCCATGTGGATTCAATTAGAAGGTTTAATTTCCATTAGCTGGGTGCTGTAACACTACCCTGCATCCTGTCTCTCAGTGCCTATAAATGAAGACTTTCACTGATCTTCTCCAGCAGTGGTTTCCTGCTTGACAGTTCTGAGTAAACAAATAATCGCTCTTAAATTGTTCTTGCTGCCAGTGTCAACAAGTCCTGTGAGCCTGTGAGAATATGCATGGGTATTTCTTCCCCTTCAGGGCTCCCTGCACAGTGAACACCAGTGTAAGGAATGTAATATCCATACTGCACAAAATCCCCCCCTCTCCCCTGGGACCTGGAGTCCTTAGGACAGAACTTTCCCACCAGACTGCTGACGTGGGAACAAGGACCTCCTACATCCACCTCCCTTCCTCAGCAGGAGCTCAGGGGAAATGTGGACAGGCCAGTGTCTGTCTTCACTCACTGGGCTGCACAGAGGAGTATGGTCACAGTGTCGGCACAGGACACACTATAGTCACAAGGACCACAAAACTATAGGTAAAGTACAGCGTTTTCCTCTGGTAACCCTTGTGAGCTCTGTGCTAGTGACAGTTTGAGTGAATAGGTTTAGAGCTTTCTGCACTCTTGGACATTATCTGGCTGTTTTGCAGCTGATGACACTGTTCTTTATTAGTGCTCATGCTTATACTCGTTATTTTTAATAACTTTTTTAAAAGTCTACCCATGAAATCACTCCTGTACCGTATGTCCCATTGCATGTTGCTGTTCATGTTTAACTGTGCTACTTCTGCAATGGTATGGTGTGCACAACAAGGAAATCAACTAGATGTGTGTCTGAGTGGAGAGGTGTACAGGAAGCAACCTGTACCGGTATTTCTATTTAAAGACATTTAGTGCAGAGGAACTAGTTCTCTTGAAACAAGAGTTGCATATAACTCAGTCAGACTTCTTTTGAAGGTTTTTTTTTACGAGCAAGAGTTGTCCTTTCCAAGCCCTTTGTATTTAATGAGAGAATAAAAAGATCTCTGAACTTTGTGCTTGTGTTCAGAGCACAGGGGCAGTTGAAGCTTTGTTACACAACTGCTGATCAGTAACTGCAGCCCCATTGTCTCCAGAAGAAAGGAGCTCTGAGTCACCACTAGCACAGTAGGCTGGGGGCCATAGAACTGTTTTAACTGAAAGAGAGGAGGGGTTACAGGGAGTTGTGCCCTTTATTACAGACAGCTCATGGTTGTTATCTAGTGGCCCAGATTAAAGTTATCATTTACAGTAATAAACTGGATTAGAAGTGGCATCTTCAAGACTGCTGCCTGTTCTCAGACATATTATTGTCCTTCAGGCGAATCTTCTGTACTGTCAGTTCTGTGTCTGTGTGTTGTTTGCTTTCCTCAGCCAGCAAGGAAAAATATTAACCACTGTGCCTGTTTATTGCTTCTCCTCTATAATGTCATGGAGAAAAAAAATTACAGGGTATTAAAAGAATATTTTTTGTGATCCATAATTTATTCATACATTTTCAAAACAGAACAAGACAATGCTGCCTTTACCTGCCTTCGAAGAACCAAAGAACCCCTATCTGTCAGACAAATACAATAGAGGTACTGTGCTACACAGAAGCAGAGCTTTGTGGCTCCTACAGCTCTTCCACTGGGTTCAGCCAAACTGCTTTTTCTTCTGTATTCATGGGGCAAGCCTTCTTATCAGCAAAATGTTATCTGGAATGGAAGCTCTCACCCATTGACACCCACTAAACATGCTTTAAGGATCTCCTTAGGAAAACAACTGCAGTTTGTCCAGTAGTGCTTCCCCTTTCATGACAGGCAGCTGTCCTGTTGCAAAATGTTGTTATAATAGTTATCCTGCTCAAGACACAAGGAACTGCAGGTTCAGACATTTGGTATCTAAGATTTTGGCAGAGAGCTAAAGTCTGTCGGATTCTGACTAAACAACTCTGTCAGAATCCAGCCTAGAAGGTATGTTACCTTTACCTGACATCTGTACTTCAGTTGGCAAAGTAAAGAGAAGGATATCATAAACATGGAAGTAGGATGACTTTTAATTGCAGTGTCATTCCAAAGACATTAGATCACCTTAAAAAATAAGAAACAGCTTCTCATCTCTTAACTGAGTAAAAGATTCTGCCTCCTCTCCTTTTCCCGAATGTTAGAACACAGTGTGGCCCCGGGACACATGCTGTTACCCTGCAGCTCCAGGTCCAGAGTTCAGTTCTGACCCTGGAATTCTCTCTCTGGGGGCTGCATGCTCTCCTTGTGTTCCTATGGAGATTTTCCAGGTACTCAGGATTTTTCATGTTGACATGTTGTTTAGGTTTCATTGTTCCTTTCTCCATGCCCTTGCAACAGACTGGCGTCCTTTCCAGGACAAGAACAGTAATGTACTCTCCTTCCTGTCTTGTGCGACAGGCCTTCCAGGATAGGTTCCAGTTTGTAACCCGCTCATCTTGGTGCCAGTGGCTTATGAGGAGTAAAATCTCAAAGGAAAGTATGTGCTAATGTTTCTGGGAAACATAAATAAGTCAGCAAAAATGACAGTCATGGACCAACGGATATGGCGGCCAAGACAAAGACCCAAGTCTTGAGCTCAGTGCTCCAGAGAGAGTTCATGACTAGTGCTATTGGAGTAACTGGTGTTAGAGGTGCTGCTCTGCCCCCTTACTCATCCTGCCAGTGAAATTCCCGCTGTGCTCTTATCTTTTTTTGTAGTGGCTGCAACTGGCTGGTAGTTCCTAGTAATGCCTAATCATATACCAGTTTCATCAACCTGCTGGAAATGCCCAGAATCTTTTTATTAAATCCACATTGCTAGCACAAAGCTAGCAACAACATTTTTTGAAAAAACAAAAAAACAAAAGACCAACAACATGCTTTGCCAACTCGATTGTTCTGTGACAAAAAAAGCTTTAAAAAAGTTTAATACCAAGAATGAGGTAAACGGCCAGGGTCTCAAATATGTGTATGTTAAGGTTTATTATTTGCTTAATCAAAGTGGTGTTATTGAAAATACAAAGTTTTTGTATGGTACAAGGAATACAACCACTCAACTTGTCACCCTACCACTCTGTTACTGCAGTTAGCACCTTCATGTTGAATGCATACAGAAGCTAGAATCGTTAAGGTACAGATTAAACCAGTTGCATCATAATATCACAATGTAGTGGACAGGAAGTCACTCATATCCAGTAGGCTTACTTATGGGCTGCCCTTAAGAAAATCAGTTTTTTGACCAGTTACTTTGTAAAGTGAACCAAACATGACAACAGTCTGAATTAGTGTTGTTTGTGTTTAAATGAGAACAGTTTTTAACTTTTGGAAAGCTTCTGAATGACTGTCTCAACACAGAAAATATTCTGGTCCCTTATTGAGATATGTTCCTATTTAAACCTTTGTGAGGAACTTGAGAATGTTGTCATCCAATTTAATCATAAAAACTTGCATAAAGATTTTATTATTATGGACAGGTGCTTCTCTAAGGGGGGGCGCTGTGAGTTTTCACACTTGGGGACATTCTCTGACCGCCTACATAGTCAGGGCAGTACACTGGGCATTACTCCGAGACGACAACAACAACTCAAATTTCACACGGTTGCTAATCTGGGGTTCAGTCCACAGCAGCTCTGATTAGCCCCCTGGCAGCAGGTGGGCCTGACCTGATCAGGCCAGTGAAGACACGCAAATCTTGCTGTTCCCTGAGTCCTGGAAGACAGCCAGCTTTTTTACACAAACTCCATTAAAGCTCTTTTCATCCACGCATAAGCACCGCTCTTGGAAAACTGCATGTATCGTTAAGTGTATGAACTGCTTCTCCAATCCTGAGACTGAAGGAAATGCATTGTGTGCCTGTCGTGGAAACAGTGCACTCTTACAAGAAGTTACTTTGCAGCCCTACAGTTGCAAAGGGGATTTCTGTGTAGTTTCCTTTCTCTACAGCGCATAGAAGTTGCATTAATAGTTACTGGAAATCACATTGCATAATTCAGAAACTGACAAAAAGGAACTACTTTAAAGACTTGACAAGTGTCACAGAATCAGAAACTCTTTGTCCTTTGAATTTTAGTGGTTTATCCGCTTGTCTTGGGCTGGGCTGGGCTGCTGTAACACCTCAATTTCCCTTCGGGACCAATAAAGTCTTATGTATCTATCCAAAGCAACATATTGAATACCTGTTCTTACAGCAGAGCATTTTACAGGCTCAATCTGTGAGCAAAGTACCTTACCCAAGGGAACAACACCATACCCACAAAGGATGTGAACTTGCAAATGTCCAGTAAGGAGTTCAGAGCCCTAACCACTCCACCACACTGCCACTTGTAGAAGTAAAACTGTGCCTGCAGCCAGAATTTTTGTCTTCATTATCTTGTCAGTTCTTATCTTTTTATTGGCTTCAAAGAAATTTAAATTACAGCCAGGACCTGAATCAGCATGTTTGTTTGGATCGGAACAACTGGATATCGGCACAAAATCCCCTCACTCTAGTCCCAGCTGGGGGTTTCTGCAGAACACCAAGACACGGCTCACGGTAGTTCATGCAGCAATAAGGTAAAATGCAAAGCCACCCCATTCCACTCATCTTCCCAGCACTCTAAATTCCATTACTCTGATGCCACTTTCGATCAGGATCATTCAGTAGGTCTGTGCTTCTGACGCAGGCTGGTTGGTCCTTTGCATTTGTCTGTTTTATCAAATTTCAGCACTCTAATGAGGCGGCAGTAAACACGTATGAAATCTGAGTTGTGGCAGGAGTCTGAGTTTTCCTTGAACTGCTCCCCTCACTCAAACGGTGCTGCAAAGGCAGCTGAACACACCTTCATTATGCACTTGGCTACAGTGTGTCTAATATATAATTTAATTTTGTGTTTTCAACTATGTACCTGGAATGTTAATAATGATAAAACCATTTATTAATTTAATGTAATGTTAAAACATTAGCTTGACCAGAACAAGCCTGGTTTTGGAAGACTCATTAAGCAACTCCATTGGACACCTTAGGAGTTCAGTAAACACTTTTTAATGAATTCAGTAACAGAAAACAGAACAATATAACAATATAAATTCACATATTGTACAGAACAGAAGCCAGACCAATCATGTCTCAAAACACTCAAGCTTACCAAGAAGGTAATAAGACTACCTTCACATCAACACTGCAGAAACAAACATAACATGATTTACAGCAACAAATGGGCTTTTGAAGATGACAACATTCAGCTTTAACTGAACAGATCATGAATGAAAACAAAACATCCCTTTTCTGATTTTAGTATATTACGCCCTACCTGGAAACTGCATCAAAACAAAGTTCGCATCAAGAGTCCTTGTCTCTCACATAGAACCTTACATCTCGCTTACCCCAGCACTCCACTTTTAAAACACTTGAACCCCAAAAAGTCCGCTTTCCAAGCTCTGTGGGCAAACGTCCTGCAAAGGTTCAGACAGGTTAAATGATTAAGAGGCTTAACCTCAGATCCTGCCCACACAAATCAGTATAACAGACTTCTGAACTGGGAAAATGAAAGAGACAAGAGAAGCAGCAGCAGTGTCAAAGAGCTATGGAGAGGAAAGGAGAGACACCCATGTGGCACTGTCTAAAGAAGAGTCCAAGCTGGTGCACATCATTAGCTGACAATCCTGCTCCTGGAGGCCTTGTTTCCATGGGCTTTTAGTCCACTTTAACTCTTAAGCTCAGTCAGTTCATTACTGCCTTAATGGGACTAATTGCACAGCTTTTCACAGGCTTTTCAGGTGCTGCCTCTTAAAAAAAAAATGCAAAAATAGCCCATATCCACTGGTCCTCAACGGGCAGGATTGCCCACATCTGCACAGCTCTATAGATCCTCCACAGGGTGTAGCCATGGAGCACCACAGCACCCACACACCTCTGGGGGCATGAGCTCATGGTAACATGCAGTACTGTTAACTAATGTCAGCACCACCAGCAGGCTTTGAAATGGCTGTAGTATCCTGCAAGCAAGACTATACAGAGTCTAGTGCATAAAGTCATAAGTACCCTTATAGAGGTGAGGAGAATGTGCTGAATTAGGTTTTTAAACCGTATCAGTTGATTGCAAGTTTATTGAAGACTTGTGAATGGAAGATGAAAGATCCACCCTTTCCCAGAAAATACAATCAGATTTCCAGACTGAAGGTACCAAGTTAACTATTAGTAACCTTAACTGTTTTTGTGCTAAAAAATCCCCCCCAAAAAACTTTTTGCATTACCCAGGAGGAATGTTGCCAGTACGAAAAGTGACACCAAGAGAACGGAAGACTTCTTACAGAATTTCTTAGCTTATCAACTGCACATGCTGCTGCTGAGACATGAGGTTTTTTTAAAAAGGTGCTGAACAATAATCCAGGTTATACAGCATTCTGAGGGACTTCTAGAATGTAAAACGGCAGCAATCTACCTGGAAAGGGTTAAGTTAATTAGAAAGGCTTGCAAAATCAGATCCACTTTTGCACCTCAAATCCCAGAGCAATCAGAACCTGCAATTTGAAATCAATGCTTCATTGACCTCATCATCCAATGAAAAGTGATTCACATAATTTTGTCTGAAGAGAAGCAGCAGATTTGCCATACAGGTGACGCATGGCTATTTTCAGAAGTAGCCCTGAAGATAGTTTTATTCCTTCTACAAAACATAAATATATACTGCTTACAATGGCTAAAAGAAATAGAAACTCTTACAATATAAAACTTGTTATAAAACTATGTTTCTGAATTAAAAATCTTCAACTACATTATATAAAAATTTAACACATATACAACAGCTTAAAGAGGGAAAAGTCCCAACCTGAAAAAGGCAATAAAATATCTGATAGTTAAATTAATACAAAATTTTTATTCCAGAAATTTCTACAAACCTAGCAAAACAATTTACTGGCAACTAGCACTTGTAGTAAAATACACTTGAGTACTCCTAGAACGTCTCCTCAGAGCTCAAACTCTGAGATGTTCTCCATTTCACAGGGGTTAAAAAAAAAAAGTCAAGCTATTAATTTTGCATATTTTGGCATCTGAGCATTTGGTAAAAGGTTGAGATGACAGCCAAGTAGAGAAATCAAGGGTTCACTGGAAAACAGCAGTTTACTCAACCCTGGATGTTTTAAGATTTTATTTCTGATTAACATATTTGTCACCTTCTATAGCACCAGGATGGATTGCAGTCTATGATGAAAAACTGAAGTTAGCGAGTGCCAGCGTTTTGGTCTATAAATTCGTACCATAGTACTCCACAATCTCTGAAGATCTTACTGCATCATGTAGTGTCGAGAAACAGGCAGGGGAGGGGAGAGGGCTGGGCTGAGACACACAGACCAAGTGTCTGCACTCCCAACCATGGAGCACATTTTAGGGCAAGTGGAGTAACGGTCTATAAAAGCATTTTAATAGTGCACTGGATTTGGCAAATATTTCCAGTGGAGAACATCTTTTTCGGTCACTTTAGTTTGAAGATTTTAAAAAAAAAAAAGTGTTTTGTCACACAGTCTTTTTTTCCTGGATAAAAAGAGCAGTCAGCTCTGACCAATGTTCCTTAGGCATCTAAGTAGCAGAAGGTCTTTGTTTCAGAGGCACCATTGTGAGAGTTTGTAAGCATTTATGCATAAATCTCAGCGGTGGGAGCCTTCTTGTAGATGGGCTTCTTGCCCAAGTCGTAGCTCCCCTCGTCCTTCTTCTTCATACGGTAGATGAGCAGGAGGATGAGGAGGATGGCGAAGAGCAGCCCCACTGCTCCTCCAGCGATCAGAGCTGAAAGACAAAGGAGGTTTAGGACGACAGTTCGTTGAAGTTTTATTAAGAAGTTGAATTGGACTAGAATACGCTTCCTAGAGATAAATGAAGAAAAAAAGACCTTTACATTAACACTGTATTGTTCTGCAAGGGGGGGGTCCACGGTGGGTGCAGTGCAACACTGAGACCCTGGCTTTAATTCCAGATCTAGACGGTTATCTGCAAAGAGCTTGAATGTTCTCCCTGCATTCACATGGGTTTCCTCTCAGTCCAAAGACATACTAGTGTAAGTTAACATGCTTTTGGGGAAATGAGCCCTGGTGTGATTGTGCATGCCTTTGTGCCCTGTGATGTAGTTTGTTCCCTGCCTTGCACCTGTGCTTGCCAGGATAGGCTCTGGCTTCCCCGTGACCCTAAATTGGATGCAATGCAGAGTTTATACGATACCCCCTACACACTTTAGAAATCTGCAAGCTGTCACAGTGGAACCATTGCCTTAGAATAATTCCACAGAACATAACAGGTCTTTAGTATCCAAGTCATAATGCTTCTCTTCGCCCTGGTGAAGAAGTCCCCTGATTAAAGTTAAGATGGCCCAACTTATCTTTTCTACCCGCAAAGTCATTGGTTGCCCATTGGGAGATGTAGAAAACCTGCTGGATACCAGACCCTGAGGTCTAGTTTGGGAACCCCTGCCCTAAACCATTCCATCTTCAGAGCATTACTTTCGTTGAAAGTGCTACCAATAATATCAGGTGTGATCTTACCTGCAAGGACTTCAGTTTTGTTGAAAATGCTCTCTTCTGCAGAATGGGACATCAGCACATTGGTGTTGACATCTTCTGGTCTCATCCTTCCATGTCCAACCTCATTCTGTGCCACAATGTCATTCTCATTAACATTGTCCTTAGGCTGGTCGGGTTTGCTCTGGTCAGGAATCCTGTTGTCAATGATGTCAGGCTGAGGAAAGGGAGAAGAGTCAACTACATCACTAGGCAAACCAGATTACTTTGCCTCAGTGCAACAGCTCTTCTGCCCTTTCATTATAACAAAACATTGTTCTGACTGCAGATTCCATAAAAATTTTACCTGTAACCCAATGGCACCAAAAAAATCCAATACAGTGTTTAGTAAACATTAGGCACAGCACAGACTTTCAAACATTTCCCCAGTGGGAAACTTAAGAGAAAAATACCATTCAAGTCCTCTTACCTTGGATGGGCTACTGCCATGGAGCTCTGGGAAATCTAGCAAGATCAAAAGAAAACAGTTAGCTTACAAAACATTAGAAGACCACTGCAATTTGAAGAGGCAGTGCTGTACTACTTGGGACCACAGATGAGAAGGGGAAGGATATTTACCTTCATCCCCAGATCCTGAGAAATCATCATCATCATCATTCTCGTCATCGTCGTAGGATTCCAGGTCATCCTCAGCCTGGAAGGCAAAATCTGAGCTGTTGGGCGAGTCTCCAGATGCCAGGTCTTCCAAAGACTCTTCTGTTGGTTGGCCAGAGGGCACCCAGGTTTCCGTCTCCCTCGCCTGCTGATCACAAAAACACAAAATCTACAGTTCAGGGAACTTCAACGGAGTACAAGCTGTAAAAAATTAAACACAAATATCACAATGCTACAAGAGCACAACAATTATGCATTCCATTATAGTTGTAAGACAGGCTTCCATCTGCACCTGCTCATCTTGCATCATCTTAACAGAGCTAGAGTCAATCTCCCACTGCAATTCTGGTACCATCCTGAGGATATGCGAGGGGGAATGTTGGCCAGCAGCTATATCACCATGCAGCTCACCACTGGCAGCCAATCTGAAGCTCAGCAGGTGTGAGCCTGGTCAGTACCTGAAAGGGAGACCACCTAAGAAAGTTAAGGCTGCAGCTGGCAGAGGCATTAGTGGGGCCAGCGGGGTGTGCTCACCCTGCAGTCTGTGTGGATCCTAATGTCATCCTTTGGACGAGATGTAAAACAAGGTCCTAACGCTCAGTGGTCATTAAAAAAATACCAAGGCTATTTCTAAAAAAAACGCAGGGATTTTGCATTGTCCTTTACCACTCATGGCCTCCTAATATCCATGAATAGATTAAACTGAATTGGCTTAATCACTCTGCTCTCCTACCAACTAATAGGTGATGTGGTGAGCATACTGGCACACTATGGCTGCATCATCACATCATCCAGGTGCGGCTGCACATTGGTAGCGGTGGAGGAGAGTCCCTATTACCTGTAAAGCACTATAAATTAGATGTCCAGAAAAGCACTTAAGTGTAAGGAATTATTAAATTCTATCAACAGGTAGTTACAGACCAGCCTCTCCTACCTGAAGCCCTAATCCTATTTACTAAAGTTTACAACTTCCCTTTGTTCCCTAGAGGTAGGAGTGGGGTCTACAGGGGTCACTCAAGGACAGGAAGTTAATCAGAGTGACCTTTGCACTCACAGATCTGCTCAGTGGGTTACTGTTCACATGGGACAGGAAACTGAGGAATGCAGGCAGACCAGCTTGGCCAACCAATTAAGACTCTTAAATTTACAGTTGGGGTGCATGTTGGTCAGGTGAACACATTCATTCTTACAGCAAGATTGCAGCTGCTGCAAGTTGCCATTTAACAGACAAAAAATTGGTAGGTTGTGATCAAGCCCCAGACAATGCATCCTTATACTTCTGAATGAACAGGAAAGTTATACAGTTAAGCCAGTGCTAGAGAAGACTGACAAACAGGCAGTCATACCACCTTTAATTTTCAGTCTTTCAGTGAAGAATTTTGCCATTGATCATTTCCATACGTCTTTGATTGCTTCCATTAGTTGAAAAAGGAACAGACTGTGCTCCCTGTCCTGATCACTGCAGAAGAAAGGGGGTGGCACTCTTTGGGCTTCACTGCTTGAACATGTTGACCGACTCAGAAAATTAGCATCCTCTTGAAGATTGAAAAAGAGGGAACGAAGTGCAGCCAATCGTGTCTGGAGCCGTTACACCAGATCCTGTCATGTAGCTCTCAAACTAAAGGCAAAGACTACAGCAGGGATTTTCCAAATGTCCTGTGGAAAGAACCCTGTAAAGGTTTTTTTTTAAAAATAATTCCCCTATCCCTTCCAGAAAAAACACTTAGTGTAAAACTAGGATAGTGTTGATTAAAGACCCTAGTCACACTAATCACATTAAAATGCTTAATAGGTTTACAGCTGGTAGAATGTTATCTGCAAACACCATGAATGAGATTAAACATGTCAAAGCTACATTGTTCAAAACTAAACTTAAAAAAAAACACAGGGGGGTGGCGGGCAGTAGTTTGGCATTCCAAAGGTACAGCAAACCAGAACAAGTTTGGGTTAAGTTGCTTCCTTACACAGTTGTCAGATCACAGTGCTTTAGCAGCGATTACCAAAGCAAGATACAAGCTTCCCTTAAACAGCAGCTGTTCTGGCTGTGCAAATATGTTCACATCTTCACTTAAACAAGCAGGTATACACGGTTCAGTGTCCAACTCCAGCATGGTGAACATTTTAACCAGTTTTTTAAATTGCACCCATCCTGAACTATTACAGAGCTGGCTTCCATTTATTCCTTACAATGTAATTTTAAGTTCTTCTAGTCTAAGTAACCCCAAGTCACCCTCGATTTAAATGAGTCTGCAACATGAATCCTACAGCACACAACTTTTATATACAGAGAAGCAGCTTCCTTAACTAGAATTCAAAACCAGTTGCACTCAATTGTTAAACATGCCTTGGATGGGCTTGCTTTCTGCAGCTCTCTAGCTGGCACTGCTTTAAGACGTTTACTCTAATTCTTCTTGGTCTAGAATACATGTACAGTACATGGGTCACAAAGGTTTTCTGTAGTGTAAGCACATTCCCCCTCCATCAGTACATACAATAACAGCTCTCCCCAGGGCTAGAGCAGCTGAACACACATCTGGAGCTTTGATTCTTCTTCTGTTACGGAAGACATCCTGTTCCTGCAGGCTGGGACCAGTCAGGCTCATTACTACAAACTTAACAGGCACTTCATCTACTTTTAGGAAGTTCAATTCCAAATCAATGCTTTTTCACCCGTACAGCTTTTAAATCGTGTTCCAACAAGAAACATCTGGGATGAGATTTCCCTGGAGACATCAGCAGACAAAAACACCCTCTTTATTAAGGGGGTAAGAGGCTTTATCACGCTTTGGTAAAGAGTGAAAAGCTTTTATCAGATCTGTATGCAAATAACTCTAGCTGCACTTTCATGAAAGCATGAAGCAACTTCCAAAATGCATAGCTCCCCTAACACAGCCCTACTTCAGGCGATAAAAACCAGCAGCAAACAGACCCAGAACATTTGCAGAAGGCAGAAGATGGCCAAGGCAGTACATTAAACTGACCAAAAAGTGAAGAAACTCCTAGTGTTTTGCATTAATTTAAGAGTTTTAACCTTTCATAGTCTAAAACTGCTCACAATGACATTGTTTACAGTCAATTAATAAGGACCATTCATTTCCTTTTAACGTCTGTGGTTTTCCTTTAGAAACTCCACATCGCACAACTTGCCCACAGCAGACTTTCCCCTCCTCCGCGTTCCACATCCGACTTCAAGTCTTGTCCCGCCAGCGCAGTGAAACTCTACACCAACACACCACTCTGCTCCATGCTCATGTATCTTCACTCAACATTTCACATGAACAGGATTTTATTTAGATAAAACAATGAGAGCAAGCAGCAGGAATTTCCAGAGGGCAAAACCTAAGAACAACCCTAATGCTTCACCAGGTTCGACAATGGCAACAGCAGAAAGATTTCCCTCATGTAAGTAAAATAAGACTATTAATCCCAAAGGGAAATTGAGGAAACATCAACACAGAGATTAAAGGTCAATCTAGTACAATTCCTTTGACAAAATGTCTCAAAACACCACTGTTGCATCTACAAAAAGCAGGACAAGTCATGTCCCTTTAAAACATTTTTAAATTGAATCCATGTTCCCATTTATAGAAAATCCAGTAAGTTGGAAATCTGGGATTTTCAATGAGTCTTAATGTCAGTGGGCTCCTTTAAATCAAGGACAAGGTACCCTTCCACCGAAAGCCACCTGCAATGTAAATTGAGGAAACGTTTGCCAAGCAAGGGCTCACAATTTCAAATGGTCGAGGTGCCACACCAAGCCACTCTCTCCTCACACAGCTGTAGTACACTGGTACTGCTTAGTTGTGCTTTTACATTATTCCAGTACTAACCTTCATTTTAGAGTGAGCGAAAGGTGGGCAGGAGACTGAATACAGTAAACAAATGGAGTTTAGGAAAAGCTTGAGGTGTCTTTCATGCAGCCTCTGTGGGGCTTATTTATACCAAAAGCCTTTTTTTCTTGGTGCAATTTCTGTTTGCACATCTTTATTAAAAGAGTACCAGCTGTAAAGAACTTTCCTCATGATAAAAACAGAAACCCCCTCCTCAAAGACTTCCCACACATTACAGAAATCCTTGTAGAGGTATTTAGCCTCAAGTGCCTCCAAGGTTAAAAGCCTGATGGGAGGCTTATACACACATTGTTGGCAATGGTCAGAGTTAGTGCAACAACCAACTCTGTAGTCTGTATCTTTGGTACTGAAAAACCATGTGCATCTTAACTGCAAACAAATTACCATAAGCTCAGCCCTGCCTGGTCCACTTCTGAGGTTTAACACCACAGGGACAAAACAAATCCCTCCCATCTGTCAGCAAAACCCAGAGCATCTGTTTCCCTGGGATAATTACCCTTCGCTCCCATTTTTGTGCACCCCTAGTGGCATCACTCGGAATCCTTACAAGATGAAAACCACATACCCCAAAACATCATGCCGATCTGCCAGATCTAAACACTCATCTAGGGTACATTGCCTAGGAATGAGCCAGACCAGTAACCTCTCACAGGCAGTGTACAGAAGTTGGGCACAGACTCTTACTACGGAACAGTTGTCTTAACACAAGCTGTGAAGCTTGCAGCAGCAAGTTCAGGGTCTCCTATGATCACTGGGTTTTCCAGGTCTTATTACGTTACAACTGCATGCGCCTCTCCCCCCTGCTGTCACTAGAACCGATCAGATTTATCACGCACTTCATCATCCTGGCTCTCCTCACAGGATGGAGCTTTCAGCTCAGTCTTTCAATCTTCTTCTGCAGTATAAGCCAGAGGGCCAAGATTCTCCCAGTCTGTGATCCGCTATTTATAGCATCATGTTTCAGTGTCTTAATGTGAATGGATCCTTTGTGTTGCTTGTTGCAGCACTTCACAGAACCTTTGTCACTCCCAAGTATGAATGTATACATTTATTTTGGAAAAAGATCTAATAACTCCAGAGATCAAGACGGGGAGAGAAAATACCACATCAAAGGCCAGTTTCTTACACAAGACTGCTCTAAATGTAGCAGGTCCTGCCACTGTAGGTGCTAATGTCCAGTGGGGCAGCAAGGTTTTAATCTGAGGTTTGGCCTCCCCTGAAAAGCATTGTACTAAAATGATTAGCTTGGTCCTCTAGCCTTAAGCTCTCTAAATTCTTTGAAAATGGCTGCATTTCGTACGGACATCCTTTATGACAGAAGTAGCAGGTTGAAAATTCCAGATGTAGCCACAACCATCCAACACCTCCAAGATTCTTCAATAATCCCAACAGACTAGACTATCCATTTCCAATCAGGGTCGCGGGGGAGTCAAGCCCATACCAGTAAGCAACAATGGCAGGGTGGGATACATCTCGGACCCCCAGCACCAGTCCCTCACAGGCATGCAACCTTGCCAGGGCCAAATAACCTACCGGTATATATTTAGGCAGTGTGAGTAAATTGAAACACCCAGATGAAACCCACATATTCTCCATCGTCATTCAAACTCCACACAGAATTGAACCCAGGGACCAGTGTTGAGAGACAGCAATGCTAGCCAGCGCACTGTGCTGCCCAGAAGCCAGGACCACAAGAGAAAAGCAAAATCCAGTGTTATTGCCATTTATTTGTTTTAAACCATGTTGAAAGCAGTTTGTATAATGAACTATTTGGCAGTACTTGTGTGGCTACAAAGGCAGGGTAAAGCCTCCAATTTTACAGACCTCGATGCAGGTGCAGTGTTTAATGGAGCCCTAAACAGAGAGGGCTGGGGAGCGATGCGCTGGCAAATTATCTTGAGTTTGGATCAGATTTATAAAAAGAGTCAAACAGGCTAAAACCCAAAGTTCACTGGAATCTGATATATTTAGTGATTATGGTTAAGGGGGATGTTTATTTTCCCTTTAAAAGCCTGATAAATAATATGCCTTAAATCTTTACAAAGAACATGCTTTGCTCCTGTTCTTGTTAGTAAGAACTGGAAACTCACTTCCCCTCTGTGAGTAACTCATCAATGGGCAACTTGGAAACAATTTCTCTGTAGCCTCCCACAGTTTGCCTTTCTGCCTTTGACATTTTCACAGTATAGTGTAGTTCACACCTCTCCTGAACTGCCAGGGGAGCAGGGGGGTGTCAAAGTCGATGCCGAAAAATTATCATCGCCAGCAAACCATGAGCAGTTCACAGCAGACTTTGAGAAGAAGTCTCAAAGTCTTTTGACTTTTTGTCATTTACCCTGACATTTACAGGGTAAATGTCACTGCTGCACAACCTAGTCTAGACTAAGCACATTGTGATAACTTAACTTCCTACATGCATGAATCTTTAAATCAAACCATAGACAAGCATGCAAAACAGTGATTAATGCTCTAAAACATGAAGCTCTCATCTAACTCTGCCATTTCTAGAGTGTCTGAGCACCAAGAGCCGAATACAAAAATGTTAACATAGCTACACACTCACATTTAAAAGGCTGCCTGCAACCTGTACTAATGGCACAGAGACCTCTGCATTTGTATAATCAATAACGGGTGTCGGCAATGTCGTCTTGGCAAACCAAAAATACATAAATTCTCGGCTTTATTAGACTGCCCTTTGAACAAAACACTCTCCCATTGCCAGCATTCCAGCCTCCAAAGGGATTTTATAGCCCAGTGGACAGCAATGCTCTAACCATTATTACATCCTGGTGAAAGTATTTATCATGTTCCCTCCACAGCCTTTCACTGGCATTGAATTAAGCCCAGCAAGCAAAAAGACAGCCTCATTCTAGTGCAAATGATGATCTGCGCTTTATTCCAAAGGAACTGCATTCCACCAGGCATCTGGCAAATAGCGCAGAGCCTACCGATAGCAACAGTCAACAGCTGAGCAGTTGAAGCAGGAGAAAGGACAGGAGGCATCCCGTAGGGTTTGGATGTCAGCAGAAACGGTCACAACAAATAGACGTTGCTCACAACTATTAATCTGCAGAAACATCTTTTGGGTTTCACATGAGAAAACTCAAGCAAGAAGAGAAAGGAGGGGGAAGTTGTGCTTCTGGGAAGAATCGGAAATTGTACATGTCCAGCACCAGCTCGGCCTTCTGTCCTGTCTGCAACGTAGGGGGTAAGGGCAATGGAAGTGAACATGTGGGCTTGGGAGTTTCTGAAATCTACAGGACAACTTTAAGTAGTAATCCAGAATCTGGTAGTTTATGCCACAATCAAACTGTTCCAGAAAAGCTTCAAATTCTTAAGCCAAAAAGAAAGAAAAAAAACCATTTGTATCCAAACCCGACTCCAATCCGTTAGCTGAGAAAGAGGCTAATGAAAAGGCTATGACCATTTAAATCCGTCCAAGTGTGCGAAATCCCAAAAGAGGTCCAGTCAAGGTCAGAAGAGGTCAAATTCCACAGGAGCACATAAAAACACAGAAAGGAAGGAGAGGGAACAGCTTCTGCATGGTGCTGAGGAATGTTACAGACTATTCTTGGCTCGGTGGTCCCGGAAAACTCAGTGAATCCAAACCACCACAGTGCTTTTGATGTTCAAACAAAAATACCCCCCCCCCAGGCCTTTCCAGACTACAATCAGATTTATTTAAATAAGATCTACCTTCTGTACAGCTCAGGGATTACACAGCTACTGGACCTGCAGTAACCATCTGCTTAACATAGCGCAGATCATGCAATATGTTATCCAATTTCCTCAGAACTATAACCAGTGAATTATTGCCTGCAGCACAAAAGGCCAGGGGATTGAGCACTGCATAGCAGCCGGAAGTGAAGAGAGTTAAACACAGGGCTGAAAGCAAGGTCACTACCCAGATAAGCCCTTTGTATTGAGTAGCAGATTACTAGACCCCATCTGCAAAGTGCCTCTATCCAAGGGCAAGGTGTACAATGTTTGCCACCCTGCCCTGCTTTTGTCCTTGGGCAGGCATTCCCAGTCACACTCACTAGCTGGCCTGCAGGTTCTCCCATCACACAACACAATCCTCATGATCCCACAGAGCAGATCCCTTCTAGCCCACCATACAAACGACATTCCAAGGTGCTGCAGGCATCTGCATTTCAGTCTATGGACAATGCATTTCAGGACACTTCCTTAGTGACCACACAGGTCACTAAGTCCACCAGAGCCCACCCCGCCATCCTGAGCACACACAGTCTGACCCACAGAGCACCAGGTGTAAGGAGCAACTGTCCCAACAGACATACTGCAGAAGGGCTGAGCTCCCAGGTGTGTGCATGGGCCACATGAAGACAGCCTGCAAAGAGTGCTGCTGCTATAAATACGATCCACGAATTGAGGGGAATAGGAAAACATAGGTGGGATCACCAAAACTACCCCAGGCTAGGTTAGCAAGGTAAACCCGAGGTGAAGAACAAGGATGTTCAGCATCCCACCAGAACTCTGAATACCTTATGCATTTTATATGTAGTATATACGCATAGTTATTCTTGCCTGGAAGGAGGTGTCGGGGAACTTCCAGCAGGCGCCGAGACGAAACTTGTGGTCCCTGGTACCGCAGCAGAGCGGTGTGGGACATCTACAGATACCCTGAGGTTTCCGATTTCCACACATAACCGCTAAGGCATTAAAAGCGTTTATGATCAACACATTTAAAGCTCTCCGTTTGTTTTCATTCTACTTCACACTTCTAAGAAGCAGCTGAGGGCTTCCCCCTTACTTTAAATTTTCCCTACGGTTTACCGTCACCTAGGGCTCTAGTCACATACCGGACCTGCCTGCGGTCACAAGACTGCCGCTCTTTACACCAACAGTTTCGCAACAGCCGCACACCAATACCGAAACTTTTCAAGGATTGTGTAAACTGGGACTTTGGAAATCGAAATTCCAATCAGGACACATAATACCAAAACACATGTATACATATATTCGCTCGCTAAGAAACCGCTGGGAGAAACGAGTGAAACCCGCTCGGAGACGAAAATATCAAGCCTCCCACCACCGACACCTCCCCCCCATAAACTCAAACACGAGCCGGCGGAGAGCTCCTGATCACCTGCGAGCACACACGCACTGTACTTACCGACTCGGCGCGCACCGAAGCGGCCAGGAACAGCAGGGCCAGACAAAAGCAACGCATCTTCCTCGGGTTGACCGACACGGAAACGGGAACTCGAAGCGTGTGGTGCGGGCAGAACGCGTGTGTTCAGGTACGTGAGTGTATCCCTAGCGCTGTGGACTCCCGGTAGTGCTCTTGCAGTTGGACCTGCTCAGCTCTGCAGTGTACTCACGGGCGGTGCAACACGCGCTTCCGTCTTAAAGAGCCACCGTGGGCCGCCCCGCCCCGCCCCCCAGCACAGCCAATCAGCGGCAGTCCGAAGAGAGTTTTACCGTACTGTGCAGAGCAAATGCGCATCGTCACCGGTCAGGCTGTAGAAGAGCTCTGTATTTGCGAATGATAAAAATCAGTTCTTAAACCTGTCAGCAAAAGTTTCGAACATTAACTATTAATTAGGGAAACTCAGGCCACTCCAGGTGAAATTTGCCATATAATGAACAGTGTTTGGTAAATAGATATACCAAAAATGAAAACGAAATGGCCGTACTTTCCAAACATAATCGGTTTGTTTGGTTTCCTTGCGTCATTGTTATTTACGTAAAAGCGTTTTTAGTTCCTGAAGCGTGGAAAAAAAACAAGCCTCATAAATATGTGAGATTAATCAAACAGGATCTTAAACAAATGCTGAAAAAGTAAGTCATTCTTACAGAGTTCCCCATGGCTTTATTTTAACAATCCCTAAATTATGTGAAACAAGATTTTAATGTACTTTGATACAGTATCAGTACGGCTGTTCTTTTTAATAATTATTAAATTATATATATTAGCAAAGGCATTTAAAATAATAGTTCCAAAAATGTCACTAAAATACCAATGGATTTCGTTCATATTTAAAACCTGCAACTGTTGTTATTCTGCGGCACAATTCAAACACCCGCCTGGGGAGAGGTTTGTCTGGTTTTCAGCAATTAATTATCCTGTAACGTCGCAACAGATGACCCGTTGGAAAGAGTAGGAAAAAGTAAGCTGGTGTGGGGCAGCGGGGGCTTGGAGAGACCCCCTTCCCGATTTTCCGTTTCGCTTTTCTCTGCCCTGCTGAGAAAACCCGATCACGTCACCGCCTCATGGTTTCTGGAACGCCGGTGACGTCACGGCGCTTTCCGGTAAGGGGCAGGGGAGGCACCGAGCTGTGACTGGGACCGGGGGTCTGGCTGTGGTTCTGGGTCAGGCTGCAGGCTGGAGTACGTGTCCGCGGTCACACAGACGGCCGCTCTGCCAATTACGGTTTCATTGCTGTCGAAGGCGATGCACACACGTTGTTTTTGCCGGTCGACTTGTTGTTTAGGTCGCGGTAGTATTTCAACCTTATATGTGAACTGATCGTTATTGACGCCGTGGCCCTGGTTCACGATTAGACGAAAAGCTAGAAGAGTCATGCGATATTGGAACCGTAACATTTATCATCATTATTACATAGGATTCCTTGTAGGAGCACTGTATTATCATGATTTTAATCTGGAACTTAAATGTCATTTATATGTAGTTACTGTATTAATGGGAAATGTTATTCTACGAATTGCAAAAAGCGGGACAGTCCCTCTCTCTCCCCTTGGCCATTGTGGTGTGAATTTGTCAGTAGGTATTATTTGCTGTGTGAAAGAAATTGCAAATACAGTACACTTATCTGCGTGCTGTGGTATGCAGTGCATTAGTCACTGTCAAGTGGGGTTCTGTGGTGGGAAACTCCAGGCACACTGCACTGTTCTGTGTAATTATTACTGAGATGCGGAGCCTGGAGTTGAACAGGACACTCGACTGCAATAACACTTGGATCAGTTTATGATTTCTGGTGTCTGTACAACACCAGGAGTCTGTATGGTACCAGGAGTGTACAGTATATTGTCCCAGCATCCTGCACTGTCCCCAGGAGTGTGTACAGTCTCAGGAGTCTGTAAGGTATCAGGAGTATGTATGGTGTCAAGAGTCTATGGTCTCAGTAGTCTGTACAGTCCCAAGAGTCTGTATAGTCCCAGGAGTCTGTATGGTGTCAAGAGTGTGTACCGTCTGAGGAGTCTGTATGATGTCAGGAGTCTGTACAGTCCCAAGAGTCTGTATAGTCCCAGGAGTCTGTGTGGTGTCAGGATGCTCAGGGGAGCGACTTCAGTGTCGGTGTCTTCTTACACATTGCCAAGCCGTGTTACAAATGGTACCTGGAAAAAAGCCGTGACTTTGATTTCATCTAGACTTAAGTCTATCGAGAGGAATCTAATTAGCACCTTCTAATCAAGCTGAGCCTTGAAGATCAAAGCATGAGGTATTTCACATCCCCCTGCCTGTTGTGTGGTGTGAAACCCCAGTGTGATGTGTGAGGAGTGTGAGTGCTGAGAACAGGAGCTGCAGTTGCCCTCTTCTCTTTCTGACAGCGTGCTAAGTCAGAGCCTGCTGGACACATGAAGCAGCTTGGGAAACAAATGTACTAAACCATTCGAGTCTATAAAGCATCTGCTACACTACAGCAGAGCAGATTTGTACTTGGAAAAGCTATCTCAGATCTGGACTGATGGACTGATGAATAAAATCTCCCCAATCTCTTTTTTGAGAAAACATCTCAAACTGCCTTCTCTCTGCTTCTTTATGATTCAGACTGATACTTAAGCCAGTTAACCTGTCATCACAATCCAAAGACTGCCAGATCAATGAACACAAGATTGATTTAATCTATTTTTTTATTTTACAATCAAAGTTGGAATTTTGCTTTATTTCACATTTCCTTTATAAAAGTTTGTCATGGTGCCCAATGGGAAGAGTAGGACAATGATAATAGCTGTAGCGTGGAAAGCATAGGGTGGTATTTCAAATCACTATAAACACGTGGAACATGGCCGAGAAAAATACATTTTTCAGAAAGCCTTGTAAAACAATACACATTTATGAAGGTGGAGTTTCCTCAAGATGTTTCTTTCTGTCCTTTTCTTTTATAATATAATCTCAACAAGTCTGGGCAAGCTACAAATAAGACTTTTGAGGTCTCTGAAAATAATAATTGAATTGATTTTCTAATAAAATCTGTTAAAAAGGCTAAGGATCTGCGCCTGTGGCTGGAAGGTTGCCGGTTCAAATCCCCTGTCCGACAGAGCAGTCATATTCTGTTGGGCTTCTGAGCAAGGCCCTAAACCCCAGCTGCTCCAGGGGTGCTGTACAATGGCTGACCCTACACTCTGACCCCAAGCTTCTCTCCTTGTCTGTGTGTCTCATGGAAAGCAAGCTGGGGTATGCGAAAAGACGAATTCCTAATGCAAGAAATTGTAAATGGCCAATAAAATGATCTTATCTATTTACTTTAATCATAATAATACTAACAGCAGCGCCGCAGTTATATAGAGTTGCCTGATAGTGTGGAGTGGCTGCTTCCCAGCTCTTGGTTACTGGGGTGCACATTATTCCAGGTTTTCTCTGAATGGTTTCTTCCCTCCTCACAGAGGCCTGCTGGCTGAGAGAAGTTTTCCCTGTGTGCCCTGAGACAGCGTGGAGTCCCCTCCAGTTTGCTTTCCCGCCATGCAGCCTGTGCTTCCAGGGTGAGATCCCTGTTTCCTGATGATAGATGGATTAGGACATGCATGAATATATGACAGATACATTCTAAGAAAGTAATATTAGATCACAGCTGCAGAGCTTTGCAAAAAGGTACGGTGTTTGTGTCTCAGTGACTTTTACAGCTGAAGATCTCTGATCCTCTTATCGGCCTGGTTTAAAGGTGAAAACAATTCCAATGTCAGTGAAATCCGGAGAGTCATGGAAAGGGGGTGCATTCCCATTTTAGAAGCAGAAATAAATAACCTATTTTTATCCGCTATTGTGCATGAAGGCATGACAGTGTGGCGTTTTCCCCTTGCTGTGGGAATGACACCTGTCTTTTCCATCTGGATCACCACTGCTGTTTAATAGAAGATGACAAGTGACATAAACAGCCTCACTCCCCCACACCTCAATTCTCATTCTGCACTGCAGTACTCTGAAACCTGAGTCACAGAATATATTACCACTGCGACTGGGACAAAACATACAGCAGCTCAAAATGGAAAGCCTGCCTGGTCCAGCATACAGAAAGACTTCCTGTATCAGTTTCCATTAAAAGTGAGAACCTTCTTTGTAAAAAAGTATTTTCTCCTTTCTTCTTTTATGTTATTTTTACTGGATTTTCCACTTTTAGGCTTAAGTAAGAAACTCAAAGACACATTTTGTGCTTTAAGCCTTGAAAATCACTTCTCTTTTCTTGTAACGTATGTCAGGTTTTGAAAAGAGTTTACATTTTTTGTTAGGCCCAGAGATGCTCATTCGGCCTCTGTGGAGCAGTTTGTGAGCAATGGAACTGACCAGCCCATTAGCTCTTCAAAACCTCCAGAACTCCTCTTTACGATCGGATATTTAAGACCTTAACAGATTGCAAGTAAAAAAGCTATTTAATCAGCTACGTTTATTCATATTCCTATAATTAAAACAGTTTGATACATGCCCAGAAATCATTTGAGAATGAGGTGTGATGCAACATAAATATCAGTAAGTGTGATTGAAATAATAACAGCAATTGGACAGCACACTGACCATAGTGACCTTCTCTGCAGGGGCAGTAAACTAAAAGGAAGAGCTTTTACTTCTATTCAGTGACAGAAATGCACACTATCCATTCCGACAAGCCTTTCTCCTGTGCCAAAGGATGCAGAGTTTGTCATTTTTTTCCTTTCTGAAAACAGTTGTTTTACCCCAATTTAAAGAATGAGTCTTATGCTCTGCTAATTATACAGAGCATTGTAAACACGATGGGACAAAAACTCAAACTGACCAAGGCCCTCGGCTTCCAGCAGCACCTGTGTCCCGGTCAGATGTCAGGACTGAAGTCGGCTTTCCATTTCTGATGAAGAGGGACATCACAATTCCCAGTCCTCTGACCAGCACAAGCTGCACAAAGCTCCCTGCTCCACCCAGAATGCTGCTGTGGCTTCCAACACAGAGGCAGAAATTCTAACGAGTTAAGACGTTCTTTACTCCTGCAGGCTGGATTGGCAGCCTAGCCAATGGTCAATGGCTGTCAAGCAGTGATGTAAAAGCTTGCAAGTCCCACAAGCCCTTCAAACTGGGACAAGAGCTGCAGAAGCAAATCTGTGTTCAATAATAAATTGGAGGGGGTTATGAAAAGAACAACAGGAATTTCCATTTTTAATGTTACAACAAGATCACGCAATGCCAATTTCAAATAATTCAAAATGACAGAGGTTTAGGGCTGCTTTTCCAAGAAATAGACAGGCTTTTAAAATGAAGCCTCTCTTTAACCCCTCATTCTGTTGATGTGCTGATATTAATATCATAAGATATCTTACTGTGTTTGAAAAGGTGCTGAGTAAACCTAAAGTGACAATCGACTTGTTGATGCATTGCATCATTTGATCAGTGTTGATCGTCGTCTGCACTTCTTTTGGAAATGTTAGGGCAAAGAGCTCCCTTGCTATCTTAATGACTCTGAACAAATGTACAACTATGTCCACCTTTGAACTATTGTCTGTGTGAAATGGTGTAATTTAGTCAACCATTGGAGTCCTGTGCCATAAATGTTGCACTGTAATGAGTGCACTCTCCTTTTGTGGTATACTAGGAGGGATTTGTAACAACACAGTTTATCTAAAGCATATCTACAAACTAATCAGAGCATTGAACCACTTGCAAGCCTTCATTGATGACAGCTCTCAGGAGTTTGTTCAAAATCCAGAATCTTTTAAATATTTCCAGATACTGCTGAAATTCTACTTAAGGCCAGATCCCATGGCATATCACTGTTCTGTTTGGGCACAGCTTCCCTGATCATACAATTCTGTCATGATTTTCTGGCACAAAATAAAGAAAGGGTCTTTCTGTTGCAGATTATATATCTCTACTATTATTATTATAGAGATTTAATTAACAAGGGTAAAAGTTTTGCTATATCTATTGAAAAAAAATCAGTCTTGGAATGCAGCTTCTAGATTTTTAGTGGGTTCTTTCACTGTGGAGCATGATATATAGCTAGCAGATATATCACTCTGCAAATCACAACTGGTAACCCACTGAAGCTAAGTAGGTGTGAGCCTGGTCAGTACCTGGATGGGACGCCTCCTGGGAAAAACTAAGGTTGCTGCTGGAAGAGGTTTTAGTTGGGCCAGCAGGGGGCATTCACATTGTGGTTCATGTGGGTCCTAATGCCCCAGTATTGTGACGGGGACACTATACTGTAAACAGGCGCCGTCCTTCGGATGAGACGTAAAACCGAGATCCTGACTCTCTGTGGTCATTAAAAATCCCAGGGCATTTCTCAAAAAGAGTTTGGGTGTAACCCCGGCATTCTGGCCAAATTTCCCATTGGCCCTTACAAATCATGGCCGCCTAATAATCCCCATCTATGAATTGGCTTCATTACTCTGCTCTCCTTCCCACTTATAGCTGATGTGTGGTGAGCGTTCTGGCGAACTATGGCTGCTGTCGCATCATCCAAGTGGATGCTGCACATTGGTGGTGGTGGAGTGGAGTCTCTGTTACCTGTAGAGCGCTTTGAGTGGAGTGCCCAGTGTATATAGTGTAAGCAATTATTATTATTATATCTGCGAACTGTGGGTTGTGAACCCTTGGATGGATTAGCTATTAACTACTTCAGGGGCTAGATGGGCAAAATGGCCTCCTTCTGTTTGTAATGTTCTTGTGTTCTTATAATCAAGAAGAACCAAAAGCTTTATGTCAGCATTGATCCTACTGTGGATGAGCTGGGACTTTAAACCAATAATGGTACAGCAATAAAGAGTTAATCAAATCAAATTAGAGTTGTCAGTAATTCAGCTTCAGTTCAACGACATGAAGCATTTTGCAGGCCAGACTGAGGCTTTCACAACGAATATCTAATGATTGTATAGTAGTGAGAGATTCATGCAGATGTGATCAGTGTAGCCTTTCCTCAGGCATCCCACCGTGCGAGGAGAGGTCTTTGTTCAGGACGGCTGCTGTGCTGTATCTTCAAAGAGACCTGTACAAGGGAGCCATTCAGTGCGGGGGAGTGTGCAACACGCCTCCCACCAAAGAATAGACACCATTATGTGCTAGATGACTCGTCTGGGCCTGTTGTCCTTAACTAGCTGTGCTGGGTGGATAACTGCCTTCCTCACTGCTCAGGGGCCATAGTCTGTTAACATCCTCAGGACATGATTAAGATTCTGATATTCTTAGCAAACCAGTTACACTAGCAGGTGATACAAGGAGCTAATTGAACCCAGAATCTCTTCCAGTCTCTTTCATTGTTGAAAGCAGCTAGGGTATCGACTTCAACAGCATGGCTGGGTAGCTTGTTCCACACCCCCGCAGCCCTCTGTACAGATGCCCCTCCAGTTGCCAAGTTCTCAGTTTTAAATGCACCTACATGTTTTACTAATGGAATAAAACCCTTAATATTGTTTAATTAAGTAGAACTGTAGAAACAGCTACAGTAATATATAATTACATGAGATAGTAATATAGTGTTTAAATATTTCTGTCTATGGATCAGTAGGTGTCTTTCTTACATCTTGACATGAATGTCCATAACCAATGCCACACTGTGGTGACGGGGAACACTGTGCTGTATGAAATATGTTTGGATGAGATGTTAAGCCATGGTCTGGACTACTTATTTGAAGATCCTAGGGGTGTTAACCATAATGCCCTGGATGAACTATTCTCTTGGCTTGCACAGTCTTACCTTCTTAAACTTCTCTCTTAACTAAATTGGTAAAACAACTTATTTAACGTCTCTCTTTGATCTGCTGTGCAGCAGGGCTGCTGGTGCAGAATGGTCTTTGTGTATCACTCTGCAATTCAGTGGTAGATGAAGCTGATCCCCTCCTGTAAAGCAAAACCTTTAGAATCCTTTGGGATGAAAAGTGCTAAAGAAATTACTGTTTACTGTCTTAAAGATTTAGTTTCCAGCTTAGTCTTCGACTTTAGGGCAGTAATTGAGATGTCTCCTATAGTGCTGTGATTAAATGGAGAACTAATAAAAATGTATATCCACAAATAATTGTATTTATCTGGTGTTCTATAGAACTTTGTAATAACATTTTTGTAAATTAAATTTTCAAGACATGGAGAATTGATTTCCTGTTCAAAAAGCTTGCCCCTTGTGATAGAGCTCCCTCTAGTGATGTTGAGTAGTTATGCCATCATTGTTTCTTCTGTTCAGTCGTTATTATATGCAAAACATAAAACGAAGCATATCTCTTATAAATGCAAACAATTCATAAAGCTATTATCAGGAAGATGAAAATCTTTTCTGCAGCAGGTGACCTGATTTTAGTGAACAGACATGATGGAGAGCAATTGCGCTGATTAACATTTGTTATCAGTACAGCTGTTCAAGGCATCTGCTGTGCTAGTCACAGGCCAGTCGTGCTTATGTCTGCTGTACATCTGAGCATGAGTCTCCCGTGTACATGTTTTATGGTAGCAGGTTGCAGGCATAGTCTTGTGAGATTCAGCCCTGTTTCTCTCATAGAGCCTGTAAATGTTTACTAGTCTCTGAGCCCTAGATGACACAATTAATTCCAGCTCATCCCAATAATATTCAATGGGGCTCAGGTCTGGTGTGTAGGGTATCCACAACATAGCTGTCCATTCTTGTCTCAACAGAAAGCTGGACACATATTGGTCTGCTGGAATTTCATCTGTCAGGTTGATCCTGCAAAAAGGACAACAAGTGAGGTCCTCTGACAGGACCAGTGTAAAACTGCGCAGCCAGGTTACCATCAGTCACTGAAAGAGGACTGGACACTCCTGGTCACACTACTGCACTTAGACAACACCGCTATGTCGCTGATGGACTGTGTCTGGTTGTATTGTTTTGCCAGTTAAATCACTGCAGGCTGTCAGTATCTCAGAAGGTGAGGGACATGTGCACTGTCTTTATCCAGCCTCCAATATATTGGTGGCACAAAGGGGTCTATTCTCTGGATAGGTATGGCTTGACATGCAACAGACAAAAACATCTCTTCACCTGTGCCCAATCAGCTCTTTCACTACTGAAATAATTTGGTGCCCTTTCAACAGTCAAAACACTTGTACTCACAAGTCAAATCACGTCAGTCAAGAACGATCAATTAATCAAAATTATGCCAAAATGTGTTTAATTTATTTTTCTATGAACATGCAGAAATAGAGGGATTCTTCTTTTTTTCATAGGAGTTTTACTGATATGTGCAGAATTCCCCTGTGCCCTCACTGACACAGCAAACGTTTTGCAGGATTGTCTAACTCATATGTTGTTACAAGTATCACTCAGCCTTCATTTCCCTGATTGGTTGCTGTAGCACAGTCAACAGCTTTGTCTGCCAAGCCTTCTTTTTGAGGATTGACACCCAAAGCCACGTTTAGGAGCGAGGCTTTGATAATTGTCATTTTCAGACCTCGGGCCTCTATATGGAACTGCTAAACCAGCACATATTTGGACACGTCTTTTAATGAGAACACAAACGAAAATCTGTCTTTAAAGAAATTCCTTGCTTTTCTCTTTCTGTTGTTTTTATGACCTACTTTCTTATTTACTTTTCTAGACCACCTGCTTCCAGGATCAATGATAACAGGGATCAAGGTGCCTGTAAATCCAAGTAAATAACTCCTGAGCTTTTACTGGCAAAGTGAAACATAACAAAAACAGCCTCTGGCCCCTATCTCCCACCCAGGCTCTCATCCCAGTGCAGGCTGAGGGCGTGGACTCCTCAGGTGGGCTCTCCTGTCTCTTCATGCTTGTGACTTACAACACTGTTTTCACACAGAGCCCAAAGAACTCTGCCAGCCCGGAGATGGAACATGGCAGAACTTCAGATGTTGTTTTGGAAAAGGAACAAGAGTGGATTAAACTGAAAACTTGAGCCTGAAGGCATTTATAAACCCAGTACTTTATAGCAGAGGCTTCTTGCTTCTATCCAGTAATAAGTCCACTGGTTACAAAGGAATTAAACATGCTCATTCATTTTCCTCTCCACTGACCCACCTACAGTATGCAACCTCTGAGCTAAAATGGCTAAATTCCCTGTAGGCTAGAAGTGTGCCCTTGTTCCGTCTCATTTCAAAGGGGTGATATGTCAGCCTTTTGGTGCTTTTCTAAGAGCAAGGAGAAGAATCTTTGAAAATAAAATTTTTTTAGACATCATCTGAGATACAGTCAAGTTTTCGTACTAAGTGTGGATGTTTTGAAAAGTTCAAAATGCTATAATAGTGAGTCTTGATAAAAATCATAATTGTCCAGTTATCTTTATCATCTAAGGTTTTTATAAATCTAAGGTTTTTGATGGATCACTGGGTTGTTCAGAAACAATTGGATTGGTACTTGAAATGAACTCCCTCACATGGTTTCAGAATTACATAACCAATCTGACATTTGCACAGAGTTGATTCCCGGTTCCTGCTGTTCTCTCCATCTATATTAAGAAAGTTGTTCAGATCCACCAACACTATGCCAGTGATACCATCTTATACTAAACTGAACTCACTTTATTATCAGTAATGTGAGATTTGTGCCTCAGTTTTGACAACAACAGGATTGCTGTAACTGTACTCTGATGAAACCCCTCTGTGTATCCATTAGTTGAAATGTCTGTTGGACAATTTTACACTATAAATGCTAATGTTTTTATAGAATGGCCTCTAAAGAAGTTTTTGGAACTTGATGTCTGTTTTCCACAAGATTTATCATTTATCATCATTGTGATCTTTATAATACATGTTTTAATACAAAATGAATCAAAAGATATTCACACAAAGGAGGGATCTAAGGTCTTTTGCAAATTCATCAGCCCCACCTGGGAGACACACGGCAGCCGTTCTGCACCAGCAGATCGAGGTGAGGAGTGAGATGCCATTATTTACACTTTATTGATTGTTCTTTTCTTTTTTTCACTGACACTGATATTCTCACCTGGCTGATATGGTAAACTAAAGGATTTTTCTCAAAGTCTCATTTTAATTAAATCCTAGTCCCACACCTCTCTAAAGGTCACTGACAAAAACAGCACATCCTTTATAAATGACATATCCCAGTTTCTTGCGTTAAAAAGCATCTTCCAGACCCCTGACTCCAGACCCCTTTTACTTTAGTTCAAGAAAAGACTATTCAATTCAGCTCTTTTTATCCCACATTAACACTAGATGGCGACGTATTTCTACATTTCTTCGTCTTCTGAGATGGTTTTCAATGTGCAGCCAGCTTTTCTTAAAATAATTTCGACTACCCAGAACAGACCATTTTGTTTTCCTTTTCAAAATCTATATGTCATTGCTGGGCTGTGAAGTTTGTTGTTTTTCTTGAGATGCAGTACTGATTTTTCCATTTTAAGGAGCTCATCCCAGTTATTTAAGGTCTTTTCCTGTCATATCAAGAAGGTATGTGAAGTATTTAGGACAATATGGACAGATGTTTAAGAATGGTTGTAATGTTTTTCCATTGTCATGAATCATCCCATGTACTCATTCTGTGAGTTGCCGTGTAAATGAAGCACAGAAGGTAATTTGTAGGAATTTTTGTTTAACCCAGTAAGTTACATGCTGTCCAGAGCCCATTTTAGAAAGTGCCTCAGCATGAAACCACAAATCTTTTCAAGGTGTACAGTCTGTCTGTTGGTGGAAGCATATTTCCAGGATGACAAGAATAAGGGAGCTTGGTGACAGTCTTTAAATGGTATAGACTTAGTCTCTCCCACTAGAGCAGGTTTTTAACTTGAAAGAAATAACAGTTTGCGGTCTCTAGTCCTACAGTTAAATGGTTTGAACACTTACTGTCACCAGGCTCTCATGATTTCGGCAGGGCTGGGACTTGCTCAGGTGACACGCTGGGCTCAGCCAAAGGTGCCTCTTCAATCCTGACCTGTGTTTGAAGAAAAATTCAAAAAATGCAGACAGAATTGGCAGAGTAAAGCAGGGCGAGAAAAGCAGGGAATAAAACAAACAGTGGAACATATCCCAGACGAGTGCAGGTCATCCCGCAGGCTGAGAGTAATCAAGCAGTCCTGTAGGATGTGATACTGACAGGTTCATGTTACGGCATTGGTGATTTGCTGAATCTTTCACACTTTCATAATTCCCGTTTTCAGCCACTGCTGTCACTTTAAAGCATAGAAACCTTATCCGAAAAATAAGGGCTGACCCTGGGATATATTAATCTCATAGTGATAAAAAAGAAACCAAATTATTTGATAATTGCACTGGTATTTGTTCAGCTGTGAGGCAGCTCTGCAGGCAGTTAACATTGTCATATCTCAGCTTCTGTGTTTTGTCAAGATTAACAGCCAAGGGTATAAGCTGTGCCGTAATGACAGGGTTGGGTTAATCTGCTATTACTTTAAAAATGAAGAGTGTAATGTCTATTTACTGCAGGATTCTCTGCAGGAGTCTTTTCTGGAGTGTGAGAGATAATCGAGATTATTTGAATAGAATGAAAGCCCCACAAATGAATGGAAATAACAATGACATCATCTTTTCACAAGCAGGGAAATGCTACATGTGCATAATTATCATTAGTAATTTAATATGCCATAACTCTGTTTTTGCCTGCCAGGTCATGCTACACTAATTAGAGATTGAACTGGTCAGTGTATTTGTATTTTGCATGCTTTGAATATTTGAATTTCAGACAGTATTACTCACTAGCTTTGAGCTATCACATTACATCGAAAGGTAGGAATGAATACTGCCACCTTTTTTCTATCTGTCTGTCTGTCTAAGGAATTCTATATGAGTAATTGCCAAGGCTAATGCTGTTTCTTGGCTAAAAGCAGACCTCTGTTCTTGTTCTAAAACACTGCATATCTTACTGTTCTCTGTTCCAGGAATTATTGCCTTTCTGAACAAAAACGGATAATTTTAAACCAGCAGCTGCTGTCTTTAACTTTGTTTCTGTCTGTGCAGTGTATAAAGACACAAGTCACAGCTCCTGCTGGACAGACATGCAGAAAATTGCTTGAAAGGTTACCCAAAACAAAACAACAAAGACAAATGAAGGGGTGTGAATCACCTGGAGTTATTGGGTGTGGTGGTAATTATTAGTGGTTGAGTTTCATTCATAGGCTTCATTAAAGAGACCATTCACAATCCCAGTTCTGTTCTTCCATGCCAATCGCCAGCACATTGGTTTATTTTATCATCTTAAATCTATCGGTTAATACCTGTATATTTCCAGAATAATATTGTGCCTGGCACTGATTGCTAGGAAATGTATCCTCACAAAAATAAACTAAATACAGTCCCCACACTCAGTAATTTAGGGCCTATGCGCAGAGAGCAGTCATGGCGTCAGGAGAAAAAACGGCACTGCAGAATTGCAAACAGCTTCTGGGAGGCGCTGTGGGAAGGAGATCGCGGACCGGCTCTGCAACCTTGGAGGTAATGGCGTCTGGGCAGCTCTGCCAGACGAGGCCAAGGCCTAAAGACCAACGTGAATCTAAAGGAAAAGGCCCAGAAATCCCTCTCTCAGGTTACCCTTCACCCTATAGAAGGTGTCAAGACACATCCTTGTGATAAATAGGATCATCTGAACGGACAACATAAAAGTGCAAGATTGGATCTGCTTTGATTCTTTGGTGATTCGACTTTCTTTTCCTGACCCGAACTCTAACTGTAACCTAAAAGCATCTCCAGACTGGCAGAGGAAATGAAAATCTGTTCTCAGTGACTTATCTGGTAAAATAAAGAAATGAGTCATAACTGGCTAGCAAGTTTTTTTAAAGAGCACACATACAGTTTGTTCATTTTGTCAACTTTAGACACATTGGAAGATTTTTTAGTGCTGTCAGATGCATGTTTACCTTGCCTGAAACCCTTTGAAGACTAGGGGGTAATGTTTAATACCAATATGTATCATCCATCCAACAGAGTATTAGAGTGTAAAGTTTATAAACTCCTTTTGGTTTTTCCTCACTAGTTCTGATGCACTGTGCCATTCTCTAAACCCTGTTTTCAACGTTTGCTCCTGGAACGACTGCTACCATGGGCCTTTTCACTCTTTTCCATTCTTTTCAGAAGGATTAATGCAATTGCATGCCGACTTGAAACATTAGTTTATTATAACTGAGAAAGGGCCCTAAAAATGAGGAAAAGCAAATGACGGAAAATGCTAAGGAACTCTGACAAGATGCTAAGACTTTCACAGCTGCTGAAAAAAAAAACACAAACATTTCCATCCCGAATTTAAGATGAATGGAGCCTAACCACTCAAAGCCACAGGCACGCAAAGCAAACACCTGCAGTTCAGGTGGAACAACATGGCTCAGATATAGAGACTTCTTTCTTCTCCAGACTCCCTCTGAAGCCAGAGCCAGAGCAGCAGAACTACAGCAGGCTGCTTGTAGCTTCTTCTTCTTCAGCAGGCAGAGATAACAAGGACCCAGGTGAAACCGAAAATTAGACCCACCTCTTATTGTGCAGATTACAAGTTCCATGACAGATCTATGTCCTCTTCAGGACTCCTGGAAACCTACAGCTTCTAATTTCAATGTTGAGTTGATTAATTTCTTATTTAATTCTGTCTACGTTCATCTCATAAAAACCACCCCAAACAACATGATACAAGTTCAAATCCTTGATACATGGTCTTACAAAACATTTCCAAATAGAATCTGATGAAACACCATGGGCCAAGAGTTTCCAGGGACCAGGACGTAAAAAAACATGTCAGAGAAGAACAGACTAAAGTTTTTTCTAACCTGTGTCCTGAGCACCTGCCAGGTTGGACTGCTCATGAGAGTACAGTGTACCAATGCTGCCTAATGTCTGCTAGCTGCAGAGCTGAAGCTACTCCAATAATTAATCTAAAAACCAAAGGGGACTCTCTCATTTGCAGATAGTTAACACTATCTGCCTAATAGCTAGCACTATTCTCTTCTGCCTGATCATGCCAAGATTTTCATGATTTTAAATGGTGAAGTTTTAACCTCTATCCTAGTAAGAGAAAAATATAAATAAGAAAAGTTAAGATGCTGTAAAAACGCAAGAAAGGTTTCAAATGCGAGGAGGCCATTTGAGCCATCTAGTACTTTAGGTAGCAGCTAATTGACCTGGATATTAATGATAATTTACATGTTACTAACAAAAGGTCCATTGTTGCATGCAGATATATTACTTTTGCTATTTAGATATTATTCATTTTAAGATGCTATTTCTAATAACTATAATTAATCATAAATAAATGGAATGCAGACTAGTTTCAGTTAAAAAATGAACTGAAGTTACTGTTATGTTACTGCTCAGAAGAGTATCTGCTACAGAACATCGTCTTGTTGCCTACTTCAAAATAAACAAAATGTTGCACTGTAAATATGAGATGAAAGACTATACTGTAGTTCTCTATGTGTAATACATTGGATAGCTATAGGATGAGAAATTCTAGAAACTGTCTTAAAGAGGCATTAGTGCTGATCCATCAATTCATTTCCTAACTACTTCATCCAATTCAGAGCCTATCCCAGCAAGCAATGGGTGGAAGGCAGGATACACCCTGGACAGGATGCTAGTCCATCCAGGCCACACACAGACACAGACACACACTAGGGCTCATTTTCCCAGAAGTCAATTAGCCTGCCAGTATGTCTTTGGATAGCAGGAAGAAACTGGGGCTCTTGGAGAAACTCCACACAGATAGCACCCAGGTTTGGAATTGAACCAAGGACCCCAGCACTGCAAGGTATCAAAGCTAACCACTGCTCCACAGTGCTACTGTAACTTACTGGTGCTCATGTTTAAATCAATTTCAGAACATTATAGCTGACCTAAAGGTATTGTTCATGCATTTTCTGTAGAGCCCAATGCACAGCAGTACAGTTACCAGCACTACTTTGTTTCCTTTGGATGTAAAATACAAGAATGACTGGAATCTTCTAGTACTTGAAATCAGAACCATCCCAGCTGATGTTCTGGCAGGTCTGAGGGTCACTCTAGTTAAATGTAACAAACAAAGCATATTCAGCACATTGCAATGAAATTTCCTGATACTCTTAAGCAAGGGTTCAACAAAACATTCCGTGTGAATCAAACATAAATGAAAATCTACATGGGGGGTTCTTTCTTCTGCCAACAGAATGAAACCTCATGTGATTTATTTCCAAAGTTGTCTTTATACAAAGAGTAGTAAGTGTCTAGATCAATCTAATCAATCTTTTGTTGAAATTAACTGTTATGGTATTTCAAGAATTATTTGGATGGGGGTACTGGGACAGATTAATTATCAAATCAGAACCAAATAGGTAAGATGGGTGCAGTGGCCAACTCTTGAATGTGTCCTTTCTTATGTTATTGCTAGCTGTGGAACAGGACACAGTGTATAATATGCAACTTTTTAGAGAGCTAACTACCAAACATGGCTAATTATAGACCCTCAATACTAAGAATTTCACTGCTTAGATGACAAAACCTGGGCTGTTCCACAAGTATGTGATCTTGCTCTGCACCAAACGCATGTCACAGGCTCTGTGGGCAACAATCCCTCTGGCCTTTGCTTCAGCAGAGAAGAACTCCCATCACAGGGGAACTCTTGGGCTCCATCGCCACAGAGAACGGCTGCGCCTCACAAAGATTCCACACCTGACCATTGGAAGCAGGGTGTGTCATTCAACGAGGACTTTAACATCTCTGCCACCTAGTGGATGACCAGAATACTACACTGCTTAGAGGGTGGATATAACATTAAATTCATTTGAAATTTGCAATAGGAGCGCTTTTCAAGAGCGGAATATAAGACAGATAGCAGACAGGAGGAGAATATTCAACCTATCTTGGCCTCATGACATATAAAAATCTATCTTTAAGGTACAGCTCACACAGAATGATAGAGGAGATGGAGAGAAAGGGTTGGAAAATGGGAACAGTGACCCCATTACCTCTGGAGATGTTCACTAGCACAGGGAGGTCGGGAGCAGAGGTGAGAGCTTGTGTCTCAGAGCTGCAGAGCAGGAGTTTGTCAGAGAAAGGGAGAAAAGCAGCCTTTTCGAAGCAAAGGAAGTCTTTCATGAGTGAGCTATTATTTAATATTTACAAACAGACTAACAGTGACAGTAGCAGTTCAACTGTTTTCAGTGAAACTAGACCGTTATGAATGTAAAGGGGACCATGAGAAAGTGAAAAGTATGATGGTCTATTGCAAATTGAAGACTGTTTTAAAAACACATTGAATTGCACAATGAAAAGAGTGAAAGAGCATGAATTGAGAGTGAGCAGAGAGGTGCACAGCTACAATAGTCTTGGAATAGGGGCCATGCATTAGAACAAAGCAATGAACAATGCTGCTGCTATTAATAATGCTTATTATAAAAAATGAAAGAAGGAAGATCTGACCTTCTGTAATGATGTTCATCGAGTAATGCATAATGCAATGCTGGAATAGGTTTCAAGGAAGAGAGAGAATGAATGGATCTAGTGTTGCAATCTTATGTCAGTTTTAAACAAGCAGTAGGAGGTGGCCAGAAACAGAACACTCCTGACATCTATAGGTTATTAATTAATTTACTTTTCTTAGTATTTCTAAAATGTTCACAGCATTTAGAACATTTATATTTGTCACAGAAGTATTCTCTGGAAGGCTGCAATGTAGCAATGCTGAGGGTAGGCAAACACTGGAGAAAGAACTGTAAATATTTGCTCCTAGATAAGTATCAGATCATATCAAGAGCCATCCAAAGTCAGACCAGCACAGCTGTGATCATCAGTGATTTGATTCTCCTTGTCAATGTATCTTAATGGAATATGGCTAATCTAGTGACACTTTATTTGGCATTAAGGCGACCCACTTCAGTAGTCTGCCATCTCATTGCAGGACGTCCTGGTCTGTTCTGCACTGAAACACGGGGGAGATCCAAAACACTTCATATGTGTTAATGGGGAAATTACTCAGAACGCTTAATATTGGAATATGTCTGATAAAAACATAAAATCTGGACAATGCCAAATGTATTAGTAAGATTTTTTTTAAAATCCAGAGAAAGATTGTGATAATGATTATCATACATATTGTCATTTTCATTCTAAAAAATAAAACAAAACATTTAAAGTTAACTTTTTTGAAGAAACACTTTTTTTGTAGTATCTGGTTACATTTTTTAAGCAGTCATTAGTGGGGATGAGATTAAAAAAATATTATTAATCTGATTGAAATCTGATTAAAAAGACTGTCACTATCTTGTTCTGCTGGGATAAATCAAGAGATAAAATAGGGGTCACCCCAGGCATTCTATGTCTCTGTGAGGTAAGAGGGCTTTTTGATAGAAGAAAAAGTGTGATCACTTCAACTGTAAATCTTATCCTGCATTTGCCCCGTAATTGTTATGCACAGTGCTACTGAAACATTCAATCTGCAATTAATTAGTAAATTTCTACAGTGGAAACAGCTTTCTGATTGCCTGTAATTTGTAGGTATATAATCACTTGTGACTGATTCTCACACAGAGAATTCTGAAGGCTTGGCCTGTTCAATGGGCTGCAGTCAGTTTAGAGAGCTGGCAGGAGAGTTCTCTAATTGTTAAAATATGTGGATGAGAGAATAGGAGTCAATTGACAGACTATAAAAATCTCAGTAGGATAAACCACACAAACAAAAAATTCTTAAAAGAAAAATCTGCACCATAACTACAGTACATCATGGCCAAGAGGCGCACTGACTGGTGACAAGCAAGAGTGCTGGATCTTCACTGGAAAGAACTGGAGAAGAAGAGGGGACACCTTACTGAGAAAACAAGCTTGACGTCTCCCAACAAGCTTAGTAATTCTATTACAGCAGCTCTTGAGCGCTAAGTGAGCTTATTGTTTTGAGGTATTCTAATTTCAGTTCTGCAGAGTTAAGTCAATGAACATTTAAATAAAAGCAGAAAAAATCACCCCCCTCCCCCCAAAAAAGCCAACATATGTTGTTTTACACAAACCACAGGAAACACGACAACCTTCCAATTTTCAACAGTGATTTCTGTCAATTAATTATTTCTACTGCACAGTCTGTTATATTTATGACATGACTTAAAACTGGAGACTTTATAGCGCTGTAAATCCATGCAGCAGTGGTTGCCCCTGGGAGAGAACCCAAGCAGGGTAATGAGGGAGTGAGAGACAATGTCAGGACTCTGAACCTGGGCCGCTGAACGTACAAATGGCATCACGGAGCTCAGAGCCTGACATGTCAGGCAGACCAGAGTATTCCAGCACCGATCAGATATCCCCGTGCCTCATATGTCTGTCCTAATGTGTGTAGGGAATGGATTTCTGGTCTCAGTTTTTCTTTCAATTATTTTCTCTTTCATGTAAAATAATAAGCATACTACTTTTTACATGGAGGTGTCTCCCATGTCAAGTCAGGTTGTTTGACTGTTCAGAGTGTATTTGGTATTGACACACTTTCCTCTGACTTGCATCAGCTGAGGTACAGCATTGGCAGGCTGACTGAGTTTTTTTTTTGCTTTGACAGATGAGCACAAAATCCTGAGGGCCCTGTTTACCAGTAATGTGAGCAAATAGAAGCCGAATATCCCGCGAATTAGGTTGAGAGAAAAAGGTGTTTAAAACACATGATGGCAATCAGGCTTCCTGAAAAGATGCATTTTTTTTCTGTTCACTTCTCATAAAAAATGTAAAAATTTGCGGCTACAAAGTCTAACCTTAAAATTATATTTCATCCCAATGTTTCAAATTAAATAGTCTAAGTGGGACATAGTTACAGCATATAGGGCAATATATTATTGTACCTGCACTTTCCATTTATAACTTAAAAGATTTACAGTTTAGAAATTTAAAACGCACATTTCTGTCTTAGCCTCTTAACCCTTTTGTTTAAAGAAATATTATGGACTTAAGTAAACGGCTTCTTTAAATGACATAATGCAAAGAATTGGTCTTAGTGGCTTTTTTCATGTAGAGCATGACTCATAGCTGTGGAAAGAGCAAAGAAGATTTTAAAAGAAATATATTGCACTTAAATTAGTTTGGACAGCATGACATCAGAGAGTAATTAAATTGGTTTTTGTTGGAATTCCGTTTCCAATTCCTGAGTTCAGGTTTGTAAAGATTTCTGAGCACCTGCAGGTTTCTGTGTGTGAAATATTTTCACTGGACGACGTTCAAAACTTTGGAGAAAAAAAAAAGACTTTTTTTTCAGCGGCAGCATTACGCCATTCTCCCCTCTTGGAAAAACTGGGATTTAAACAAGTCTCCTACAAGATATCGGGCAGAATTACAGGAGTTTAAGGGAAGTCGAGCTTCTCCTTTCAATGCAAACCGTTTCCCCGGATTGCTCTCTCTTTGGAAAACAGAACAAGGAGCAAGCGATTCGTATCACTATGGTTCTGAATAGCAGAGCTGGAGAAAACGGTTTGCTAAGCTTGATTGTCCAAAGAAAACTTAATTCGGGTCTGCTGTTGCGCTTTTGCAAGCTCGTTCATGTTTTCTTATTTAAGACTGGAAGAACCTGCGGAGATTTCTTTCTCGCTGAGATTCAAAGGAAGTTCAGAGGATGAAAATACTGAAACGTCTCCCTCTTTTATTGGGGTGCTGGACTGTGCTATACCTGGATTTCGTCCCAGCGGCCTTGAGCCCGACTGGGACCGCACACAGTGCATCTGTGAGCAGGCTAGAAGGTCGCAGGACTGGTGGAAAGGAAGGAGCCCCTCTGTCTAGGGGTCCCGCTAATTTGATGGTGGGGAGTCATGGTTCAGGGACGCGAGCACCCTCGAACGGAGCTCGGATCACTCGAATCAGATCTGGACAGCCACTGATAAAGGGCGACACGTCCAAGGCGAAAGCCGCGACTGCAGTGACAGCACACGGCGTCCCAGGAGGGGCAATTCATTTAGGTAGAAAAGAAGCGGCTCGCTCCTGGGTGCCCGCGGCTGTGGCCGGGGCTGGAGCTGCGGCTCCAAGGACGCAAATCGCGCTCACTGGCACCAGCTCGCCGCTGGGGAGCAAAACACGGGCAGTCCCCAAAACTGTCACGGTTCCTGCGAGAACTGGGCAACAGCACAAAGCGGGTAGTCGAAAGCAAGGCTCCCCGCTAGCGCAGAGGAGCTCCAAAGCGCTGCCTGGCCAGTCTGCGAGCCCCAGGGACTTCTCCACGCACCCCCTGGTGACGCCCCACGACTACATGCTGTCCCTGTACTGGACACTGTCCACGGGCGAGGTGAACAGCAGCGCGCTCCAGGAGGCAGGGATAGCCAACACCATCACCAGCTTCGTGGACAAGGGCCAAGGTAAAACAATGTATACATGTTCTACTGTGACTGCAGCTGCTGCTGCTACTGCTGCTGTTAATAATACATTGTGCAGGTATGTGTGCTTATGTAACGAAATTAAGATACATTCAGTTTTAAAAACATACTGTAGTTGAACTTGAACATCAGAATTTACAGGTATTTTCTAAGACTTATTTTAATTCTAACGGAAGACATTTAATATCGACTTGCTATTTCTTGATTCCAAAGAGCAGCTGTCCGATGAAATCATCATCATCATCCAGTATCAGTTTAATTATTGCGACAACCCTTCATGCTTAGAAATGAGCTTCATCATCACTACATCAATGTGTGTCCTTCTGTTAATACAGTGGGAGACTGATATTGAGAAACGTTGCCATATTCCAATAAAATCAGCAGTATCAATGATGCTATTTATTGTAGATTTTTAATATACAAGTTAAAGGTAACGAATTTTGGGGCAATGAAATATAAATATACATGATGGTCCTTAACTAATAATTAAACAGTCTGGACGAAAACATTCATTATTCTGTGGAGATTACCGTTTACACTGACTTGAGATTGTCCACTACAGGACAGAGACTGTATTGGGGTTCCGTTCGCAGAGGTGATTTGAATTGCATTTACTTTCCAGACACAAAGGCTCTCAGGTCAGATCCTGCGGCTTGTTCAAATCTGCACCGCATTACCGACTCAACAGGGTGAACGAGTGTTTAATTGAAAAATTGGTATCGCCAACACTATTTCTGCAATAAATACAGCACACCGGAAACTTCGAAAGTACCTTTAGTTTATATTATAGATTCTGCCTTTGATAAACACGTTGTTCATTCATAAATTTGGCCGCGGATGTGGACGTTTTTAGTCTTACGATAAGTCTGTTCGTAGCGGTTCTGCTGTAAAGCTTTGAGTCACGGAGCCGAGCGCTACTGAAGCGTCTTGGACTGCGATTGCTTCACCCTTATACGTCCCTGTTTCAGTATTATGCATAATTACACAGCTAGCGTGGTTAACCAGTACGCAAGCCAACATCTTGTTGGACCTGAGCTAATGTTTTTCCTTCTTTTTCGTAATTGTATTACAGTAAATTGGTGCTGCTTACTGTAACTGGCTGAAGTCAAAGAACTGTCAATTTATTGCCTCCACATGCAATTTAATTTAAACAACTCAGGAAGGTTCCGCTACAATTCCCTTCGTATAGAATGGCATGAAGGGAACTTGGGCCAAAACTGAGAAAGCACGCTTCTCTAGAGACCCTCAATCGCAGAGTTAAACCCGCATTTTGTACCTAATCCCTCTGATAGAACCATTTAATGTTCGACCGTCAGTAGCGTACATTAAATAAACTGCACAGGGCTCACATTTTCCCAGCCTCTGACAAGCGATGACAAGCTACGTAGTTTGCCAAACCTTTGGTGGTGTCTTGTGGAAAACAAACGTCCGTGTATCAATGAAAACAGAAATGCTTGTCAACGAATGGCTTTTCATGAAAAATGAGTGAATTTCAGGTTTTTATTCACTGTTGGGTTCGGACAGAAACTTGTTTCAGATTTCCACAGTTGTTTCTTACCGTCCCCAAAGCATCGCCGCTCTTCTGGCACGCACCCCACTCTCTCGCACACATATGTATATAATATATGTGATCGTTTTTAAAACACACCGCAGCCCTCCAGAGATCCCGAGTGCTTGTTCTTCATTATTTGAGGCAGAAATGCTCCTCCAGCACTCGAACAGCCCCCTGCCCCCAGGTGCTGCTTCCAGGTGACACAATGTCACTCCTGTGGCCCTTGCTGGCTCAGTGTCTGGCCTTTGAAAACTAAACAAACATATCGCATTGGGGTAGGTGGCCTCCTTAATGTATTGTTTTTTCTTTACCAAGTAAAACAATTTAAAAGAATGTTAAACAATGTTTGTTTAATATTCATAGCCGTTAAATGTTTACATTTCGAGTGGTTAATGTAGTTTTAATTTGAGCTGTATTTATACAAGTTGTCTTTTGTACATTTTAGGCCTGACCTTTCAGTGTGTGACTAAATCTTGCATTGTGTTAGACCATAAATCTCAAACTCAGAAAAAGACGAACTGCTCAAATGTTCTAAATGTCATGAAGGAAAAGTTTGTTCTGTGTTAATAGCATACATATGAAGCCATTTATCAATTTGTATTGTATTTTGTATGTATGCATATGTTTTGTGGTAGATTTCTGGCATGATATTTATAATTTTTTGCTTGTGGTGCTGTTGGAAAAAATAACAAATATAAAGTGTGTCGTATTTAATCTTGTAATAAACTCACAGTTGTTTGCTGGGTGGTATGAATGATGAGATATGACTCCTTGAAATACTATACATTCTTCCCTCACTTCAACTTAATTTAAGCTTTACTGTATGTTTGCATCACTGTGCATTGTCCAAGTTATAGACTGTAAGTCCAAATGTATTCCAGAGAAACACTGATGAACAGCAAATACAGAGCGTAAGGGAGCTGAATATGTACACATAGATTCATTCTGCTGTATGAGTTCAGACACATAAAACAATCAATTTGTGTCAAAAATGTTTTTATTGTAATGCTCTCTTATTCTATAATGATTTCTAGCTCTGCCTGGTAAGCCTATCAGTCACATAGACTTCACCTAGTTTCTTTTCAGTATGTTGCTGATTACCCAAAATGTTTAAACCTAGAGAAAACAAGGAGATGGTGAATGTCCAGTCTGATCCTCAAGAATCCAAATACTTCAGTGTATCACTGGCCATTGCTTTAACATGATGTCATCGATTTTAATTGTTTGACCAGTTTAAAAAGTAATTTCTTAACTTCATTTTTTAATCTCTTTGAGTTACTAACTTTTAAGTTAAAAAAAAGTAGTTGTGCTTTTCCTTGTCAAGATTGCAGTCTGGCAGACTTTCCTCTTTGCTGGTCATAAAGAGGAAAAAGAGCCATAGAAGCAAATGACTACTAGTACTGAGTTTTAGTGTATCCCCATTGATTAAATGTCCTACATTTCTTACACGTTAATCTCTTTGCCTCTTGCAGATGACCGCCTCCCTCTGTTGAGGAGACAAAAGTACTACTTTAACATCAGCTCCCTGGAGAAGGAGGGCGTGCTGGGAGCTGAGCTGCGCATTCTTCGGAAGAGGCCGTCTGACCCAAGGAAGGCTCGATCAACAGGGGGGCTGTTCACTCTCAAGATCTTCACCTGTCAGACTGGCAAACAGAAGGCATCTCTTCTCCACTCTCGCAGCATTGAGGACCGTGATGTGCCTAAGTGGGAGGTGTTTGATATCTGGAAACTGTTCCGGAACTTCAAGAACGTGGTCCAGCTCTGCTTCGAGCTGGAGGCCTCTGACAGGGGTCGGCCGGTGGACTTGAGGAGCCTGGGGTTCAGCCGGCTCGGCAGGCAGGCCAAGGAGAAAGCTTTCTTCCTGGTCTTCAGCAGGACCAAGAGACGAGACCTGTTTTACAATGAGATCAAAGCTAGGTCCGGCCATGACAACAAGACAGTGTACGAGTACCTGGTCACCCAGAGGAGGATGAGAAGAGCCCCCGCCTCCCGCGCCAAGAAGCTGACGAAGAACCCCAAGCCGCGCTGCAACAGGAAGCCCCTTCATGTCAACTTCAAGGAGATGGGCTGGGATGACTGGATTATTGCCCCGCTGGAGTATGAGGCCTATCACTGTGACGGGGTGTGTGACTTCCCCATTCGCTCCCACCTGGAGCCCACCAACCACGCCATCATCCAGACACTCATGAACTCAATGGACCCCGACTCCACTCCCCCTACCTGCTGTGTGCCCACCCGACTGAGTCCCATCAGCATCCTCTACATTGACTCTGCCAACAATGTGGTCTACAAACAGTACGAGGACATGGTTGTGGAGACGTGTGGCTGCAGGTAGCAACGCCAGCCCTGTCAGGGAACATGCTCCCTTTCACCCAGGACTCAGAAAGACTGAGAGAAGCGATTGCTGGCTTGTAGCTGTCGTCAGGGCACCACACCATGTGTCTTGAGCGCCTTGGATAGCTTTCAGGAAGTTAAATAATTCCATAAAAATGAGGGCATACCAAAGTCAAAATGTAACCCAAAGTGTTTCAGAATGTTTCCTTTTGAATGTGTTTCTCTGGCCCATCGGGATAAGCACAGTAACTGGAATGTTTCATATTTCCCAGACCAAGAAGTGGCTGAGTAACTTTGTATTCTTTTCTGAATCAGCCGTGTTAGCCTCCTCCTATTCCTGTGCAGACAAGGACTTTCTGATACTCTTTTGAACTGATCAAATTAAGAATCTTAATACCCTAACAGGAATAACCATTGGCTGTTGCAACCACACATGCTTTTGCGGTTACAATCCTGCAAATCTGCCCTCAGTCCTTATGTTGAAAACAGTAGATAACAGTATTGTAGAGCATTGTTAATACAACATATATTAGAAGATGTAAACTTCAGAATTCAATGTTTATATATTTATACTTGTTTGAATGAAATGAAGTGATATTTTAATACAGATTACAGACCATCATTTTAATAAAAAGTGTTGTCCTTGTAAAATTTACAATGTGATCAGCTCACCGGTGACATTCTTGCAATGCAAATATGGATGAAACTGTTCCTATGGAAGATCTCCTGGTCTTCTCACACAGTGTGGACCCTCCTGCTCTGTTTTGTAGGTCAACACTGATCTGTCTTGTTTGTTTTCTCTGAGCTGCTGTTAAATATTGTCTCCCTTCTCAAAATTGTCAGCTGGTTTCTTTTTTCTTTTTTACAATGTTACACAACAAGGAAAGAATAAAAATATTGCAGTAGTTGTTAATGAATTTTCCTTATGTGAGTTTAATAATTGTGTACTAGTATGCCCTAAATCCAAGTGTTTTTTTGACAGTTCAATAACCATATTATTATTGCTGTTGGCTGCATTTTGGAAGAGTTTGTGGGTTTTTTTTCATTTACAACGACACAAGTTGATTCACTAAAATACATGTTTTCCAGTAAATTCTAAATACAAACAAATGCAATTGTTGATATGTTATTGCATTTTTACAGCTTTTTTACTTCACAGTTACTCTAGTAAATTGCATGAAACTCACTTACGTATGAGAATCCTACTGGGTTTAGTATAGGAATGTCTTTAGTCATAGTGCAAAAGATGCATGAGTTGTGAATGTGCCTTCCCCATCCCTTTCTCCATAGCAGAAATTCTCCCACCGGCCTAACAGTATATTGATATGGAGAACATTTCTCTCACAGCTTTGTGGTTGAGAAGGACAAGACATCCACATTTGACATCTGTGGCTGTTGGGTGAGATGTGCTTTATTCTGCTAAATTGCTTGTATTGCCTTCCCTGTTCAGTGCCCTATGGACACTAGGTTTGGACACTGGTCCCAGAGGTTGTGAAGACTTAGGACATTGGATTCCCTGGGAAACAGAAAGCTATAAGAACATAATAAACTTTAGCCTGGCTCATCCAGCTCTTTTGCAGCCAGGAGACTGAACCTAGTTCAAGAAGACTATGAGCAAGTTAGCGGTCCAGTTTCCCTGCTTAGATAATTAATACAAACTGATTAATCAGAATAGGGAACTGCTCTTCAGTGGATCCTGGGAACTGTTTTAGAAAGATAATATCCATATAAAATGAAAAGATAAGTCAATTATTTAGTATAATGGCAAACCCAGAGTTGAATTAGAATTAGGGCTAGGAAATAATGTAGTCTTAGGCTTACTATATGTGATATGGTAAAATGTTAAAAGGCAAGTGTTAACTATTTAAGAATTCTGATTGATGATGTCTTAGGATAAAATCTGAGAACATTTTGAAAAAAAAAGTGTTAGTATTGGTGAGTGTAAAGAATTCAGGGGGAGTACATTCGATGGAGCGCATAAAATACATGTATTAAGTGTTAATTTATGTTAAGATACCTCAAGGTTACTTTATTAATAACTTGTAGTAAAACTCCAAACCCAAACTTAGATCACTGGACAGTGAGACTATCTAAAATATTTAATTTTCTGTGTACTTTGCAGTTTGAACCGATTTAAGAATTGGAATTGAATTTGTGCATTCCCGATGGAAAAAAATGTTTAATCGGATTATACTCTCTGGACTGTATAAGGTTGTTTTCGTGATCACAGAAAGGTCTGCAGCTTAAGCAGAAACATGAATTGTTTACAGGATTATGTTCCAGTGTCACTGTTAGCTGCCCTGGATTGTGGCAGAGTGTCAGAGCAAATCAAATGCTACAGGATCAAGTGGTATGAAAGTAAAGTCTTGTATTTCCAGATGTAATCAGAAACATATGCATGATCCCATTCAAAGAGCCTTTAAGAGTAACCTAATTTACTGCTAATTGCAGCTTGACAATGGCTGTTGGAGGGAGAGCAGTGCTGCCTGCTCTCTGGGGCACAGTGATGGGCAGCCACTGTCCTGAAAGCACACCTCCGGCCTGCATTCTGTGCTGTGGTTCCTGCAGTTTAGCCTCCTTGTCGGGTTTATTATCAGATCTGGCTTTATTTTCCATGACCGATGTTTAACATTCTGTAAATTCAGGCTAGAATTTCCTTGACAGATGTTGGAATTTTATCATGGGACAGGCCAAAGCTTGGAAAAAATCTATTAAATATAATTGCTATCTGGCAGTGAGCATGACACCTACATAATCAACACTGATAGTATAAAGACTATCACACACCCCCCGCACACAAGTTTTTGACAATTAATTCAACACATTTATTTTTATGAACTGCCTTTGTACTTTCTGGCAAAGAAGAGATTCATATTTTTCTAGATTTTTTTTTTAATTGTTTAGAATTGTTTAGAAATCTTTAAAATTAAGATTCAGACACTTCACAGAATACCATATGCTTGAAAGTATTGTGCTTCCAAACTGTAAACATAAACAGCTGTGAGATGTAAGATAAAGATTTGGTATCCAGAAAAACACAGCTTTTCTCTGAGTTAGCGCTCACTCTGGCTTCACATGTTAGGCTGATGTTTCCTTATCACAGAGTATCCTTTCCAGGACGGCTAATTTCATAATTTCACTGCCTCTTTCTGTTCAGCATCCTCACAGAACAACAGATTTATCACAGGGTTAATCATATCATAACCATGTAGGTGCCGCAGATTTTATAACAAACACTTTGGAAACTTGGAAACTTTTCTTCTTCACATACAGTATTATCCCTTTTCTTGTTTCAAGTCCTCTTATCTTCTATATTTAGTTGCACATTCTTCTCCTTGTGCATCGCTTACGGTTATTCATGCAATACTTTTTTTTTATTTGAAATATATAAATATTGAAGATAGTAAGATCTGCTAAGAAAGATTTATGGTCTCTCTTCTGCCGGCATAATCATGCTACAGCATGCTCACTGTCACAGAGCACGGACAGACCAGAGATGGATGTTGCTGATGTTGCAGTGGAGTCCTAGTGTGGACAGTATGTTCTGTGTAGCTCTAGTGTCTATTTGGCTTCCTTGTGCACAGTCATGCTCTCTGTATAGTGTTGTTGCAGTGAAACAGCTGTTGATATTTGTTTTCTGCAGGCAGGACCGTATCCTTTGGGACTTACTGGCGCTGCATCAACTCTCAAATGAACTGTACTGGAGCTTGCATTGGGGTTTAAATAGAATACAGGTATGTTTTGTTAAATTTTATTGCATTTGGCTGAAGTATGAAACTTAAGCCGAGTGGGTAAACAGAGCGTTATGCCATTTTCAACAATGCTTGCCCGTTAGTAGTTGAACGGCTGCCTAAACTCCATGTACACAATTATGTCATTTCCTGCATAAAATACGCATGTGTGCTGTGTAACCTATAGTTCAGCAATTACAGTGGTATTTTGACAAGTACTTGCCCGAGCATAAACCTAGCTGGCTTTGCAAAAACACATGGTATCAGCAGTGACCAACCAGCACTGCTCAGAAAGGAGAGCTGCATCTGCTCCTTCTTGCACATTGGTTTGAAATAGTGTCCCCCTTTGCATTTTATTTCAGGGAAGTATAACATTTCAATACTTTTCACTACGAGAGTTCTATTACAACATTTGTGTTTCTGCAGAGAATTACAATCTCAACTATAATATTCTCCCGGCACCTCTAACATAACCACAATAAATTCAATGCAGACTTTACCTGTACTATACATATAAAAAACAGCAAGAGGTGGCATGGAATAAAACTGAAATAAGAGGATTTTGTTTTACTTTTTTCTGCTACAAGATATGGCCAAGAAACTGTAAATGTAATTTACTCAGCAATTATACTTTATTCATTTATTAATCAACGGTTTGGCACTGGGGCTTAACTGGAATCACTGGGTGTGATTCCATGCTGGGTCATCTGTAATGTGAAATCTGCATATTCTTTTCTGGTTCCTGGTGCTTTCGCTGGGTGTCCTTGTTTCTTCTAATCCTGTCCAGGCTGCAGGTCCACTTTATACACCACGTTGTGAGCCTCACCAGGATCTGTCTAATCACGGACAGGTTGCCTGATATTCTACTGGAAAAATATCAGGATCCATTTAGAGTTAGAAAGGGGGAAACACATTTTGCACTGGAATAAAGGTTCAGTGTCCTCTGTGAAGATACACTTTAGTTGACTATTCGTCTCCTGATTAAAATCACAACATTGGTATGAGTCTTCAAACACCTCTCCCTTCCTTCAGCTGCCATGTGAGAAGATGGGAAGGCTTAAGAAAAACTATGATCGATAATTCCCAACAAATTCCACATTGTTTTCAGTGGAGGCCTAGAACAACTGTAATGCCTGGGGATGAATTTGCTGGATGGATTTATGCTGTGCCCTAATGAATTGGTCTTTTCACCTTGGGAAATCTACACTTGAATGCTGGCCAGACCAAAGTAACCAAAGAGAAGAAAAAGAAATCAGCAATATTTATTGAAGAAAAAAGAAAACATCAGTATGTCTCTGGGACATACACTCAGCTAATTGTGTGCTCAAAGCCAATTATAAGATCTTGCTTTGAGGTCGAGCAAAGTACCAACAGAGGATTTAAGGCACGTTTAAACCTGTAGCAAATGTTACTTCAAACGATGTAATTTTTGTAAATGTGTGCAAGCTAGAAGATTGGTGTACAGGTTGAAGTGTGACTGGGGATTTAGGAGTGTTATTAAAAAGTGAAAGGTTTAGAAATCTAAGCACTCCAGTCCATTAGTTTAGATGTTAACAGTTCCTCTCTTTCTCCACAGTCCTCTGCACAAAGGAGGGGGATATGTGTCCTGTGCCTGGATAAATAAGATTCCAAGCTCGTGTTTTTCTACAGGCACTTCTGCATTTCTGCACTCCTTGCTGTTGCACTGAAGGTTGGAGCTGAAAAAGCCATTGTGCACGTTGTCCGGACAATGTGATTTTGTTTAGTCTGAGGAGGCAGCGGCAGGGAGGAGCCCATGGTTGGTGGTTTACAGAGAATTTTAAAACTTCATCAGCTGCTTTTTTAGTTGTAATAAAATAACAGTGGTACTCAGAATGTTCACGTACCATTGGGTGGCTTTGAGGTCCATGCAAACAGCAGTGGTAGTGTAATCATGCTCTTGTTTGGAAATAAGAAGACTCTGAAGAAGAATATGAAGACTTTCATTGAAAGTGAGCACTATGATCTGATCACTTTATCAATACGCTATTTCAACCCTTGGTCACATATGAAATATGAAAACATGAAATATAACTATTTTTATTCCAGTTCTGAAACTTCTGTGTCTGTACCATCACATTTTTATTATCAATTACAAGTATAAAATAACCAATAATCTAGATCGCAGGACATGATTTAAAAATAAATGTCCAGGTACAAACTG